CAAAACACGCTTGCCTTGTGCCTCATTTTCCCGACAATATACCCGAATCCTAATGGCAAAACCAGTTACAGCAAAAAAAAAGGTCATCACCAAAACCTTCATCATCACGCCACCCTCTCAAAGCTCTTCAACTGAAATCGTTTACACTTTACACTACGACTACAGCATTGCTCATATTTCCAACGAATGATGATAGCCCCATTGTTCCAACCTAACTTTATAAAGCGTCACAATCACAATAATCACGTTTTGCGTAGCATGTGATAGTGAAGTTTATTCCAGCATTTTGCGGATGACTAAAATATAGGTAAAGAAGTGTGAATAAAAGTTGTTATTATATGCTCTGGGGGATGTCAGCCGCCACTTAACTAAAAATATCAAAATCACAAATGAGCATATGCATTATTTATGCTACATTTTCATCCGGTTAACCGTCACAATAATATCTGGATATTAGATAGTATAATACCTCTCGGGTAATCCATCCCTAGTTCCGACATAGGCCTCAATGGACCTTTCCCCGAGCATCGACTTCCTTGTTTACTTTGTGACATTGGCCAATCAGCAAGATGCAAAAAGTGACGTCACTATGCCTCCTTTTCGCATCCGCTCAGACACTTTTCTCACTCAGACAGATTTTCAAGCGTGATTGTAAACATTACCTCGTTTTCGCGTTTCTGAACTCTATTCGTTAGTTTTTAGTTGTGTTTTGGGAACTTAAATAAAAATCAGATTATTCAATGATCACTCTGTTTTTCTAGGAGTTTTAATTTAATTGCAGTAATAAAAATTAGTGTAGAAATAGCTGTGATATACTAGCCTGAAATTCTTTACCGGTACTTTTAAAAAACAGATTGTTGTATGCGATGAATCATAATGATGGTTTGAAACACATACCCCATTTTACAGACGCCAACTCGCAAAAGCACTCTTAAAATAGCCTTGACAATTTTGCAATGGTAAAGTATAGGGAGAATTTTCCGAGGGTCAAAGGTCGGGGAAAGGTCCATAGACATCAATACCCTCGTTCCTGTGGCCCCCAGCTTACGATGTAGCCTACTCCGGACGTGTTACTTTCGTGTGATAGCGTAGTGTCTCAATGGTAGAATACAAAGGAAGGTTATTTTTTATTTCAGGTTTACCCTGGAAAATACTAATCGTAAACAGCTGGTTGAAGATCAGCGTCAATACTTGATTACCGCATGATTCGTCCGCGGGCAGCATGCGGCCCTTTGGTTGACTGGTCACATCCCGGTGAACCAAGACAGAACAAAGCTGAATCTTGAAAACTAGTTTATTACTATGCGAAACATTTGAAAAATCAAAACGGCATTTGAGATTTTATCGACATTTTTGAAATCGCCCTTGACAACGGAGTGTGGGTAGTAAACACATACGGTTTTTATTGCATAGTGAGATATTCAATCTTTCCGCAGATTTGTCCGTCAGCCTCGAATATATTCAACTAAGAAAGTATTTCAGGGCCCTACTTGAACCCAATTTCCTCTATATTTTTATCAGCGCTTGTACTGCTTATTAGACAAAGTCATTCACTAGAAATTAAACCAATGCCTACTGTTTGCTGATTTCAGGACAGATACTCGAGGATACCGGTAGTAGTAGTACTCATCAACGTTGACCAATTTTACCCCGTATATTTAAAATGAAAATATCGAATAACTACTAAAAGTGGAGTTGTTGCATCCATACACCGAGTATCATAATTATAACCCAAATCATTGAATCATTTCCGACGTTGCTATCTAAATCAATGCAAAAACAAGCTAGCTGAAGTTTTTAAATATATATATAATTAAACCCGTAGCTGATGGAAGAATTGAAAAAAAAAGTTTCTTGAGTTTGCCTGTTTATAATTATATAATGACTGGAACAAAATGCACGTTCCGGAAATTGAATTTGAAACATTAAATATTTCTTGCACTTCTTGTAAGCATTGCAATGCATCTTCCCCGAAAATTCGGCTTGTCATTCAGACCAGTGCTCGTCTACGGATTTTGTGTATCACTTGACTTTAATTCTCGTTCAGTGTCCTCGTGGGCGTTAGCTTCCCGTTTTAGGCGAGATAATTTAACGCCAATAAAATCTCCATTGCCCAACAGCCAACTGCTTGAAAAAAACACGAGAACAAGCTAATGATTACAACAAATCTGTCTGAGTGAAAAAGTGTGTGTAGGGATCATTTGTCATGTCACCGTTGACATCTTAGTGATTAGCCAAAACTAAAAATTAACCGACAAAGTCGATGCTCGGCGAAACATCCACTGCTTCGGAATTCAAAATGAGAAGGATTCAAAGCTCCCGTAGTATGGAGAATGTATTTGTGTCGATTATTTAAAATCCTCTTATACCTTGACAATTTAAGACAGCAAGAAGATGAGCCTGCAATTATTTTTAATCGTGTTTGAATATCATGAAAAAGAAATAATCTTTGGTACTTGGTCCGAGAGCTGCAAATCATCTGTATTGAAGAATTTATTTTTCTGGCAAGTTCTGACTGTTGGTTCGAGGCACCAAAAATAGCATTACCATCACTAACTTTTTGTCGCCAATTACAAAGTGGGAAGGTTGCTGGTATTTCTTTGATGAATTGTCAATAATTTCGGGAACTCCAGGTTTTTCGATATAGGATAGGATTTACATGTTTATCCCGGCATATAGGCTACGATATTTTTGTTTGCGAGAGTAGTACGGATTTTTTTGACTTTGAGCAGGGGTGGGCAAATTACGGCCCGCGATCGGGATCCGGCCCACCAAAGTGTTTCATCGGGCCCACTCGTGCCTGCTGCAATTACGACTATAGTTTTCGCGGACATATATTTTCGTTGAAAATAACGATAAAATAACGGCATAATAACCCCGATTGTTACACTGTGCTTATTATAATTATATAAACGTTAGCCTAGCAGCCTAGCTTTTGTAAATGAACTGTTTTTATTTATAATAAATTTTGAGACTCCGACCCAGTAACCAAGTCTGTTATCTGTAACTGGCCCACTCAGAAAAGTCCGTAACTAGCCTATACAATTAGTTTTGTAAAAAATATGTTGGCCAATGCGACAATATGTTGCAATGTGACCAAGGTGCAACATTGCCAATTTATCGTTCTAATAGGAGTAATTGATACGGACGCATCGTATTATAATTATAACCATTTAGAAACCATCGCATTGAAGGTTGAAGCCATGCATTGCACACAAGGGTGCGGTATCTAGGCCCAGCCAAAGTGACTATTATAGTCACTTTGGGCCCAGCGGGGTGTGTGATTGACGCTCATCTGCGAACCGGTACCCGCAAAGCTCTGCCGCCTCTGCTTCTTAATGTAGGGGTTCTACTACCTGTACCGGTATGGTATCGTATCGCTTGTGTGGTGGCCAAACTGTCATGCTTTTAGGGCTTCTGAAGTTTGTACAGAGACAATGCATAAATGCTATGTAAAATCTATGGTCTGTACCGGTACTGATTTGACCAACTTCGCATGTGTCGCTAACGTCAGGATGTATAATGCCCTCCTCGCATACCGGTATGGGGGTCTTCCCAAAACCAGGCACTTTTTCAGAAACCATTTCAGGCATTTTGACATTATTTTTAGTAGTTTATTGGGGTTTCAGTATCTCGAATAAACATGCTGTACATTCCTATCTCGCATGGACAGCATAGAAGCATAATATAATATGTTTGTAAATCAAACTTCTCAATTTAATAAGGTATAATTAATTTTTTAATGGTAAATCATGAAATTTCAGGCACTTCATAAAAATTTATTTATCTTTGTTTCTGCTTTTTTTATTTTTTGCTTTCAAACTAATTATAAGCATTACTGCGTTAGGATATAGTTTTGACAAAATGCGTGAAAATTCAAAAGTGCCTGATTTTGTATTGGGCGTTGGTGTTGCCATATTTTACTATCGAAAAATTAATTATACCAGTATGCCTTATTAAATTGGGAAAAAGGTGCTTTACTGCGATATGAAAATGCACAACTTTATTTGAAGTCTAATAAAACTGAAACCCTAATGAACTACGGAAAAAAAAAAAATTAAAGTGCCTGAATTTGCAAGTGCCTGGATTTAGGAAAACCTGAATATGGTACTGAAAAATATATTCTCCAAGAAAGAAAATTAACTCAAACTTCTAATTAACTTGTTTTTTAAACAAGCTCAAAACTGTAAAAAGTATTGGTTTTATTTTTTAGGAAATTGTATCATTTATTTTATATTTGGTATTATAGTGTAGCTCAGTCAGTCAGTAGTAATCGTGTATGCGAGAAGTATCACGGTGTAAAATCTTGGCAGCATCTATTGTGTTTAAATAAACTCCACCCCCCACCACAATTTCAAAAACTCGTAACGGCAAACAAGTGCACCTTTCTCACCAGTCAGCCAGTGCGACTTTGATTTAATTTATGGAAATGAATGCTATGTGAAAATGACTGTTTTAATTTAATTTCAAAATATTAATAATTTAATTTTGTGATTTTGCAAAATTTATTTTTTTAAAAAATTTGGCTCACTTGAAAAAAAGATTGGGAACTACTGCTGTAGTCAATATCAGTATATTCAGCGGCATACCTTTGATTAGAAAAATTTAGAATTTCAAGCAATCTTAACTCTCATATGATACCTGGCTGGATATTATGATATTTTTCTGAAACAATATTTTTCAAACATCAAATTTAATTAGGGAAGTCAGCATAGTACAGTAGTACGGTATTGGTATTCAATAGGTTTCAAGTTCTGAAGTTAGAAGCTTTAATATTGACCTTACTTCTGTACTTGTTCCCTATTATTTACATTTTTTAAAAATGGAGGCATTTGTGATAACATTACTACTGTGTGTATATAAATGTTCAAAATGACAATTTCACAAATAAGACTATTCTGAATTATTCCAAAATTATTGATTAAAATATTTTTAAATTAAGTAATTAATCCATTTTAGACATCCATGCTTGGGCCTAACCATGAATTTGATTAAATGTTGTTTTTATGAATTTTCAGCCTTCCGAGTTGAGTCATTGTCAACTACTGTTAATGAGCTATTGTAGCTAATTAATATTAAGTCAACCATGTCAACTTCTACCTATGCTGAAGATGGATTTGATCAAACTGCTGACAGTTTTTTTGAAATAGGCCAGTTCAAAAGAACTGTATCAAGAATCGATAATGGGCACAAGCAATGTGACGAACTTATGTCATTTTTGAAAGATCGTGCCGCCATCGAGGAGCAATATTGTAAAATGATAAAAAGTTGGGGTGCAAAGTATACAAAAATAATTGAAAAAGGATCTTGCTATCACACGTTGCAACATGCGTGGTTAGGTATAATTAAGGAATCTAACAAAATTGCCGATTTACACCATGAAATGGGAGAAAAAATTGTCCAAGATGATGTAGAAAAAGTCAAAACGTGGAAGAAAAATCATTATCATAGCTTGACACTAGGTGGCTTGAAAGAGAGCAAAATATGTGCAGATGAGTTTACAAAAGCTCAAAAACAATGGGCGAAACTTTATAAAAAAGTTGCGGAAACCAAGAAGAATTACTATACTGCATGTAAAGAGGAAAGGTCCGCTCAAACTCAAGAAAACACTGCAAAAAGTGACAGCTCTATCCCGCCTGAAAAAGTGAAAAAACTGCAAGAAATGGTTGAGAAAAAGGGAAATGAACGACAGAAGCACAAAGATAAATATGAAGGTGCTTTGAGCGATCTTGACAGTAATAACTCTCGGTACATGGAAGATATGGAGCAAGTATTCACTAAATGTCAAGATTTTGAACATGAGCGCCTGGCATATTTCAAAGATGTATTATTGGCTGCAGAGAGTCATCTCAATGTTTCAACTGCACCAAATCTGAGCGAAATGTATGGAAACATTCGCCAAGCAATAAACGTGGCAAATGTTGATAATGATTTAGATTGGTGGCGGACCAACCATGGCCCTGGAATGCAAATGAATTGGCCTGTTTTTGAAGAATATGATGCAGAGCGGCTACACATGCAGAGAGTTAGTCGAAAGCAAACGACCAAAGCGTCCAAGTATGTGGCTGGTGGTGTAGATGGCATTAGTGCAGCACAATTCACACAAAATAGTGAATACGCATCGTCGTATCCCGCCAACAATGGTGAATCCGATCACCGACCAGCATCCTGGAGTGACGATGAACAAAGTAATCCCTTCGATAATGATGCTATGAACGATGCTGCCGGTGTTCCTGTTGTAGCATTGTATGATTATGCAGGAGCAGAAGAAGATGAACTTTCTTTCAAGGCTGGAGATCAACTATTTAAGTTAGAAGATGAAGATGAACAAGGATGGTGCAAAGGAAGGACAGCTGATGGTAACGTTGGACTTTATCCAGCAAATTACATGAAAGAGGTTTAAAGCAATCAAGTCACTTGATGGTATTGCAATAGATTTTTATTAATTTGAATAAAAACTTTTTTGTGTAAAATTCACAATCGAAATGATTGTGACAGTATACTCTTGATTAAATATGTTTTAGCTACTTGATTATTTTATGTCAAAGGTACCAATATTTTATTGTGTATTGTAATTTCATTGAGAACTGACTTTAAGCTGGTATTAATGAAATGTTTTCCACTAATTTGTTCAGAAATTTTTACCAGATGGTAGATTTTTTATGTGTTCTACTCGATGAAATGGTAAAATTATTGAGATAAAATCTTTTCTTCAAGCCCATGGTCTAGATTTTTTTTCGAATTCACAATGTCCTGATTATGATCGTGCAGTTCGGTTAGCAATTCCAAATAATAATAATTCCTTATATTAAGTCTATTTCTTTCACATTAATGAATCTTGAAGCAATCCAAATGTGTTCCCTTGATCTGTAATTCTACTATTACAATTTAACGATTCATTGAAATATGAAATTTCAGTAATTTGGGTTTATTGGTTTTATATATTATGAACAGTTCTTAAATATAGATATTTGATTCGAAAAAGTTTGCATCAGGCTAAAATGAATATTGAATTTATTTTAGTATTTCAAATTGTTTTCATAAAAACTAAGAAGGTATTGATTTGTGTAGTGGATTTGTGCATTTCCATATCTTACTCTGTCATGTCATCCTCACAGTATAGCAATGTATGGAATGTCAGAAATTTGCTAATTGGCTGTTATGTAAAATAGTCAATTCACTTCGGTATACAGGTCAAATATGGCCTGTTAAAAGTAGTTAAGATAATAATTATGTTAGAGAGGTTCTATGTTAGGAATTTGAAAAAAAATTGTGAATTCAGTTACTATAACTTATGTAGATTTATTGCTTATGCTTTTCTGGCATAATGACTCCATTTTATCTATCAATCATTTAATCAGTTTCAATCTGACATAGTATGATGAATATTTCGCCACATTCAAAAGTTTACATAATAACACATAGGGTTTAACGTTGAGACATACTATGTGGCAACACCCTTTTACTTGCTTTGTAAATTTATGCATTTGATAAATCTCAGTTATTTATTTTGGATTGTATGTTGCCATAACTATTCCTATTCAAGCTCTCAAAGTTACGGTATGTTAAACACAACAGCCCAACAGTCTTTTGTTGAAACCCTTGTCCTGCTACACATACTACACCATTATTTGGCTATAATTTTAAAAGTTGCCAAGTTGAGTTGTTGAGCCAAGTTGAGTTGTTTGCCACTGAGTGTAGTGCTGGCTTTTCAGGAAAATAGGATTCATTTCAACTTCAAGGAAGATCTGATTTTTTGTGCTTTGCTTCTAAAAATTGGTACTTGATATGTGGATAAATTATTGAATATATGTAATTCAATGTATTTTAGATGTTATCATTATTTACAAATTTCTTTTTTCACAAAACTTAGACATTATTCTATATATTTTTTTTGTGTGCGTAACTTGTGCCAACTATATGAAATATTGATAATTGTTAATTTATTTTTGGGTAGTTTTAAATATTTAGGAAGAGTCTCAAGGTATATATGGCATGACTCACAATTACAATGTAAAGTGGTCAATATTATATTTGTATACATATGTATTAAATAAGTGTGTAATTTTTCTGATGTCTTTTATGGTCACATAATGTAGACAGAAAATATTCTCGAAAAGTAAATTATGGCAGATTCAATTGTTCAAGATAATACTTCTGATATTATTCTGAACTATATACTTTTATTTTACAAGATCAGCTAATAGTTTTATTTACCAAGTTTCCAAGATAACAAAACAACAGCCACGTATTGTCGTTGGGTTTGGCCCTTGTAAGATTTGATATATACTGGGTGACCCCCAAAAAATTACCTCTCGAAAAAGAAGAAAATTACTTAACACATGAACTTCTGTTTGTGTATGATTCATTAATCTAGGAAGCTTAAAATATTTTCTCGCTAAATTATGTTCCAAATTACCTAGGTTCTGTTTTTGTGGTCACTCTTTATGGATTTCTAACATGTCAGTTATTGCTTTTATTCAAATTTAAGAAAGATAAAAAAATTCAAATAAAAGAAATTCAAATAAAAATTCAATTCAATGCTCGCAATCTTTATGTTAAAACCTGTTGTCGAAGATATTTTCATTTTTCAATTGTACTAAATGTACATATTAATGTTTATGAATTTCGCACTTTTTTAATTTCCTTTATTCCTATTGCTATCAGAAAGTGAGCTATAATCATTTTATATCTTTAGTTTCAATGATAAGTGAAAAAATGTTTTTTTAAGTATATGGTGGGCATGATCTGAATGTACCAGTTAGACGCATTGATAAGTCAAAATTGATATTCATTGTCATTTAAATTGATAAATATTCTAGCAAAGCAGAACATATTTTTTTAATTGTAATATTTACCGCCTATGTTAAATTGGGAAAAGTATATTCATAAGTTCTTTCAAGGATAAAATATTTCAACAATGCTAGAGTTAATTCAATTATTCATAATCTAATTGTCAAAAAATAATGTCCACTTCAATTGCAATTAAAAATGGACTGCTGGTAATATTTGTGTCTTTCGCACCATAATCAGAAAATATATTTCTTGAATAATATTTAACCATTGTTGTTAAATGCGTTAAGAAGTGCGGAGAAAAAAAAGATAATTTCCATCCTATAGATTGCTCCCATATCCCATCCTATCTCAGGTTCAACTTTGACAAACAAAAACAATATTTTCTCATGTTTTCTGTAAGTTGTGTTATTTTTGCATGATTAGTGTATTGTAGAGATTTCATGACTATAATATTATCACATAGATTTATTTTATAATTTGCAGTCACCCATTATAGATGATCATAATATTCTTGTGTTTTTTGTGATTATTTTTATTATTTTTTTCTGGTGAAGTTGATATATACTATTATACTTTGTGTATCATTAAGGACAACTTTCATGTGCTACATTAGTTTTTGTCAAATTTGATATAAATATGGTTATGCTGCCTAAAAATCCATTTTAGATATTATGAGAAAACGAAGAGTGGGTTTAACCACCTCTTTTATTGGCATCTTAAATAGCCCCTATTCATTTTTCCATAACTAAATTATAATCCTAAATTATTTGTCGAAATTTTCTGCTATTATTATAAAAATGGACGCTCCAGAAGTGTGTGTACCAATATGGCGGTAACTAATTTTGTTCGCCTACTTTACATCAAGTTGTGTGAAGGGACTGTATTCTATAGACAGGGGGTATATCCACTTGGTTAACACAGACAGTCCCCGAACTTGTAATAAAACTAAAATAAAGAAAATCGAAATAAAACCATGGCCTAACCATAACCTGGTACACACACTACGGTATTACAGTAAAAATGACCCCTACTTGATTGTTATGTATTATCCTCAATAATTGTATTATCGTATAATATTAAAGTCTTTTCTTATATTCATAATCAATAGTTTTAATATTGATTTCGTCTTATAAATCGTGAATTGCTTGATTACTTTTTTAATAAAATGTAACATTCTGTAAATAGAACAATAATTTCGAACTGTTACGTTAATCGAAGTAATTTTTTGTCTTTTCACTTTAGATTCAATGTTACGATTAATCTATCTGCCCTAAAGCAATTAGTTGAATTAAAATAACTTATCCTATCACTGGTAAAACTAATAAAGGAATGAAAACCATCGACATCTGTGCCTCTGGGGATTATTTATAGCTCAATAAAGACATGCTACTACTCATATGGAATATACTTCAACAGATTGTCAAGAGTACATGGTAAAATAATGCAGTGCAATAATCCCCATTGTATGGCATGTATAATCCCATATTATGTATAGGTCTTTATGCTTATGCGACAAAGCTTTGGAAGCACTTTTCATATCATAATATGATGGCTTCAAAACGAAAGGGTGAAACTTAAAATGTTGTGCTGAGGAAATTCTGCAACTTTTCGTTGAAATATGTTTCGATAAAATATTTTTGAATATACTGTCCCTACCCTTCTGTCTTCAAACCATCAATTGATATGTTTTAGCTGTATGAATATGAAAAAAATTCTTATCAAAGATAATATGAATTTGAGTAAATTTTTCATTTGACTGTTTGATGAATTCTTATTGGTTAATTTGCGAGCATATCATGATTATGCTACATGATAGGTAAGATAAGTATATACAAAATAAAGGTGACATGTAGATGCTATTTGAATATTACATCAGGTCTGCAGATTTTGAATTTAATTTTACTTCAATTATGAATAATAGGCGTTATCAATCTATTCATCAGTAATTCTTTTTGTATCAAATTTTGTTTGATAAGTGCATTGATCAAAAAAATTGATTTTCTTGTTTCTCTGTATTGTGCATCATTTGTCTCTAACTTCAGTAAAAATGACATTTATCAGCTTAACTGCGAGTTTGGAAATTGTCAAAACTATGAACTCAAACTTGTCGGTACTCCCGTAGTATGTATACCAGGTTAGGGTTAGGCCATAATTTTATTCCGATTTTCCCTATTTTAGTTCTATTACGAGTTCGGGACTGTCTGTGTTAGCCAAGTGAATATACCCTCTCCCCATAGGTTTCAGTCCTTTTACACAACTTGATGTAGAATAGGCAAACAAAATTGGTTACCTCCATATTGGTACACATACTTCTGGAGCACCAATTTGTCATTTTCAACCCAGACAATCACAAAGACACACAGCTCACTCTTCTAAATTTCTACTGTGGGTTATTTCACAATTTGAAAATAGATGACTTTTTATGCAATATTCTCTGTAAAGACAAACCATAAGTCTTAAGCATGTATTATAGACTTCTTTTACCACAGCCTCATTATGTTTGTGATATCTTGTTTGAACGTACAATTATGTCATTGGTTAAACAATCGCACATTAATAATTGAACATCTTGATACAATATTTGGGGACCCCACCCATCCTATGTAAAGTTTTTTCTTGACATAAATTGTATCAAATTGTAAGGATTGGTCTCCACTTACAATAAATCAAGTTTATATCATAATAGTTTTCACAGTGTATATATCCTGCATAGAAAATCTTTTTTAAATATGGTGTTTGCCTCAAGTGTTACATACTATTTTATATTATGATTCTTCCATTTGGATCATTTTTGTCAAAGAATAATTTCTGATGAAATCATATACGGTACTACAAACTTCAATCGATCGTCTCATAAAATTTGTTTAATTACAGGCTGAATATTTATTTTGAAGTCAGTAATGCTATTAATAATGATATATTTACGGATGGGATAGAGAATACTAAAAATGGTCTTTACATTTTTTGAGTATCATATCATGTTTTTGTGTGTGAATGAGTGTCAGTGCAGTGTATACCTTAATTAATTAAGTCAAAACAAACAAAAAAAATTTTCTTCAAAATTATGATATAGCCTACATCACTACATGATTAGTTTACTTTTTATTTAAATGTTTCACTTTTCAATTGTACTTCTTTCCACTACAGCATATTCATTTTAAAGACTTCATTTTCAATCTGCACTATAAGATATACAATGTTTGATATACCATAGCTTTATATAAGATTAAACAAACCACAGAAGCTTATTTTCAGTCTCAAGATACATTTTTTTAGTAAAAATTTTCAATCAGTTCTTGCTGCTGGGAAATACTTTTTAATTCTTCGAATACATTCTATTTGTTGAAAGTTTTGTATCATTTTTCTTGCTTATTATGTGACCTACTGAGGAATGTTTCTGTTATGTCATTCTAGCTGATAGTGTACATATGTTAAGGAAGATGTATGACGTAATACTACATCTTGTAAGAAACATGAATTCTTGTATCAGTGATATACTACCGGTATTTATCGTTAGTTTTGAATGACCTTCGGTATAAATTCTAAGTAGTGAGAATAAAACAAAAAACTGATATTATTCTAGTTGTCACTTTCTTCTATCTTATACTATAATGGTAAAAATTCTGTATTTGCTATCAACAACTTTTGATTTTTTTTTCAGATATTCTCTTGACTGAGAAAGCAGCCTTTGCTCTGTTATTTATTCGATTATGTGTATATTGGACTTCATTCCATCATATAAATTAAATTTATAATGTATTTGTGCTCAAAAGTATGTCGCTGAAAGATGTCTTTTTTGATAGAATTTATATTTCTTGAACAGGAATTCAAAATGAATAGCCCAATATTCAATAGGCTATATGTTGAAAATTAATCACAAAATACAAAGGAATCTTGTGTTCACAGATTCGTTAATAATTTGTATTTATCTTTATCATAATGGACAAACAGTCTATGATTTCCAAAGGATGGAAATATATTTCTTGTGACAAAAATATTCTTAATATTGACTACGTGCTGTGTTCTGGACAAAGTTTCAGATGGAAGAAAGTTGATGGGATTTGGGTTGGTGTTCATCAAAAAAAATTATGGAAACTAAAACAAGAAAATGACTGTATTTGGTTTAGGGTTGCACACAATACGCAAAGCTCATCTACCCCATCACTGCAACTGAAAAATGATAAACTGACAAAAGCAAATATCAGGAAACGTTCAATGTGTAACCCGAAACAAAAAACTGCCAAAGTCATCAAACTTGATAAAAATAATAACCATACGGTAATAGATGCTGACTCACAAAAAAATTTTCCCATTGAAAATGAATTTAACGAAGAAGCTATTTTATGTGACTATTTTCAATTAGATATTGACCTGAATAGTCTTTGTAAATCATGGTCGAATGTGGACAAACATTTTGCCATGATACATAAAAAATTTCCTGGTGTAAGAATGTTACGACAAGATCCGGTGGAAAATTTATTTTCATTCATCTGCTCATCAAATAACAATATTTTGCGAATATCATCTATGGTTGAAAATATGTGTTCAAAGTTTGGTGACGTTATCTGTAAAGATGGAGAAATTACATACTATTCTTTTCCCACTGTTGACAGCTTTGCAAAAAATGGCACAGAAGAGGTATTACGTGGACTTGGGTTTGGGTATCGAGCTAAATACATTTACCAAACTGCGATACAAGTTCGCGAAAGAGGCGGTGCTGCTTGGCTGAATAATTTACGACTGTTGTCGTATTGTGATGCACATTCAGAATTGGTTAAATTGCCTGGAATCGGTGCTAAAGTTGCAGACTGTATCTGTATGATGTCACTAGATAAACCCAATGCAATTCCTGTTGATACTCATGTATGGCAAATTGCTGTTCGAGATTATGACATTAAAACATTAAAAAAGACAAAAACTTTGACAGCAACTTCATATAGAGCAATAGGGGAACATTTCAGAAACCTTTGGGGTGGTTATGCATCATGGGCAATGAACTTTCTATTTGTAGCTGATTTGAAGCAATTTAAGCATCCTTTTTCACAAAAATAGTTGTGAAATGGTAGTTTCGCAAATTCAGGGAGACACAATTTCTATAGATTGGGGATCAGAATTGAGAGCTTTTGTAGCAAAATCTTGACAATGTCAACTTGAAATTCGTCTCAGCGTTTTTTTTTTGGCTTTGCTTTTTTGATCAAGATGATTTTGAAACTACTAAATAACACAGGGCGACATTGAAATAAAACAGCCTTTTGCCCATCATATAAATAGAAAAGCATTGCATACTTTTATAAAATCTATTCTGTAAAAGCATATCACAAAGAAATATTTTGACACTTTGCTTTGAAAGAACTCCTGGTTAATTTCAATTTTGATCTATGCCTCTATATAGCACATATTGATGCTTATTTCTTTTTCCAATAATATTCCAATATTTGTTAGATTAATTTTCATTTTCTTTTGTTTCATAATTTTCGTCTGGTATAATTCATTTCTGTAAAACTTGAATTGAAGGCCATATTGCTGTATAGTTTAGACCCTTTTTACAACAGTTGAGCTATATGTACATGTAGGTGTGTCTCGATTTTCTTACGAATCTAGTGTAAACATTATGTTTTATTTGCCTCAGGACAGATTTATATGATGTTTGCTTAGACATCCACCATAAATGCAAATAAAAGTGATTTTCAATTGGGAGGTATGACAGTATATAGCTTACATTTAATTAAATTGTTGGCAAATGAATTTCTTGTGGCCATTGAAACCTTTGAATAAAAAGCCATGGTGACATTTTGTCGACATCATTTAACTATAAGGGCAGACAACAAACAAAATATTCGGCTCTGTATTTTTTACAATAATACCCATACTGAAATGACATTGTAAGTTGCTATATTGTGCTAGGTAAAACGGTACTAGGGAAATTTCATGACTATCGTATTGTAAAGTTATAAAGGATGCTAGGAATGTTAAATATTTGCTTTTCCGTTCAGATTGTTTGCGACATTCGACAATATACCGGCCCTAAACTAGTTGATGAGGCACTTTCTGTTTGAAACCATTTGAAATAGATTCAATATAGATTATGTTACATCAATGTTTGATTTTTCGAAGTTTGTGGATACCTTCTCCATTAAACTTTTCTACATAATCCACTATGTCTGCTTGCTCATCAACTAAGACTAGTAGATATCGAGAAATTGAATTTCACTGAATCTCAGCATATTAACTGGTTATGATAAAACTAGTAGCCGACCACTGATTGTAAAGTGAGATTTATCTAAAACTACTCTGTGATAAATATAATCGTGATTTTGAAATATCATTTTACTATATTATAAAAAGTTCCCTGTTTATAAATTCCCAGTCCTACTTATCATCTGCAAAAATCACCATTCACGACAAATAATATATTAGTATGACAAATACTTGGAAAACTAATAATGGTATTGTTACATTAATAAGAAATCGCGGTTTAGTTTAAATATGCTTGTTCGAGGAGGTCTGATTAGATGCTGATTAGATGACCATTCAAATATATATAAAATTAACATTATCAATTACTGTCCCATGATTTAATCCGTGATGCAATGTGTTTTTAGTCGACCTGAACTTCAATTTTAGTATTAAGAATTAAAAAAACTTTTTTAAATACCATTCTTTTCTTTGTTTAAGTTATTGAATAACTATATTCATTTTTGTATCTTTAACAGACTATAACAGTAACTTGTCGATAAAATGCTAAGAGGAACAGTTGCTGGTAGCAGTTCTGGTGGCCCGCCACAACAAAATATTGCTGAGATCATACAGCTGCTTGAATCCAACAATGTGAGTGTTATCGAAGAAACAACCACACTAGTTCGAGATAGTCTCAGTTCAACTAATGAACCATGGCTACTTAATGGCCTCACAGACTACTATATTGCTTCAGGTAACATTTTGGTCCGGCGTATGCTTACTGGTATCAGGCAACCTCAACACAAAAACCTTCTGGTAAAACTGGACGAATATTTACAAAAAACAACTACTCGCTATGCTGCATTGAATCTATTTGGTCACATCGTTCGCAAAGATCCTTCCTGGATACCTCAAGTTGTACAATCTCGTGCATTTGCCACAATTTTAAAATGCCTTCAACTAGATAACGATGTTGCCGCATTGACTGTTGCTATGTACGTTGTAGCCACTTTGCTGCCAAAAGTTCCTACACAGATGGGACCAAATTTGAACCATTTGTTTGGTATTTACATAAGACTGGTTTCATGGAAAACTGTCAGGGGTCCAGATATCAGCAATCTGAATATGTCAAATTTTGATGTAGCCTTGTATGCATTTTTTCTTTGTCTATATGGCATGTATCCTTGTGGATTTGTGGAATACTTGCGGAATTATTACTGTAAGTCTAAAGGAAATGATGTCAGTCGGGTTACCGATGCTCAAATTCAAGTTCCTGCTACCACTGCAGGGGGTGAACAGGTATTAATGGAAAAGAAAAGACATGAAATTTTTCAAACTCGTATTCTGCCTATGTTGCAACAAGTTAGACTTCATCCCAATTCGATACTTTATACTAAGGAAATGGAAGTTACTAATGATAAATGGAGGAAAATGGAATGCCATGATATTATGGCTGAGATTTCTCAGATTCCTATAGAAATCTCACAGGAAAAGGTACAACAACAATCAGATGACAAAATTGTGTCACGCTCGGTGCAGTCTGATCAATATTTGTCACATAGTCAAAGTAATGCTAGTATTGAGTCTGAAACTTACAGTACAAATTCGGAACCAAGTACTGAAACTACTACAATATGGAGTCCGTCAATGGAGATTGGTTTATCAACACCACCTCCTTCAAGAAGTATATCACCTACTCGTGAGTTGTCTGATGATAAATCGAAAGCTGATGTCTCCGAAAATATAAACAAGTCCAAGTCTCGGCCAAATACTCTTGCTATTTCTCATTCATTTAAAGGAAATAATTTGTCAACACCCTGTACTCCAACTCAATCATCTTTGTCATTTGAATTTGATAAAGGCGATGGTGAAACAAACTTTCTAATGGTTGGTTTTGCAGGTTCATCAGGAGATTTGAGTTCTACTGGCAGTCGAAAATCTTCATCTGGTGACATTGCCAATGAGGACAAGACTAAACTTGCAAAAAATCTTGACATCTCTAAAAAGAATGCTCCCGCTAATGTTTCAACACCCGAAGTTAAACTGACCTTCTCTGAATCTGCTGGTGAATCCTGCATAACAGATTTTTCACCAGCACTCCTGCCTTCATCAGATCATTTGACTGCCCCTTCGAAGACAGCAATAATTTCAACAAACAAGAGTGATTCTTTATTTATTGGGAAAGACAATCCTACTATACATGACATATTACATACAACTGATTTAAACCTTCACAAAACCCTATCTGCTCGGGAGTTAGTTGAAAAAGAAATTCAGCTTGCCATAAAAAGTGATAATGTGAAGCAAAATACAGATATTGATTGGCTTCATTTTGGTCAGAGTCGATTAAATGAGAAAGACTTGCAATCACTTGAAGCTGGTTATCTTCAAATTCATTGTGCATTGCTCTATGAACAGCACAGAAGACAACAACATGCAATTAGAGCACGGAGATTAATGCGTAAAATCTACGAATCGTCAGCATTGCAGGAGAGAAATAAGGCACTTTGCGATACACTTTCACAGAAGAATAATGAAATTGCCCAGCTAAAAACTATAGTAAAAAACTTGAAATCTGAGTATTCAAAAAAGGAAAAAACAAGTCAAAATTCACTTGATACTTTACAAAATGATTTGTCTCAATTATCAAGTAGGTTGAAATCTCTTCACGAAGAGAATATGAAACTGAAGCACGAAAAGGAAACTGACTTAGCTGCTATCGCTGCAGCGCAGGAGTCAGATAAGCAAACACAGGCAGAATTATATCAATGCAAACTGCAGTTTCAATCCGATGCAAAGAACAAAGAAGCAAATAAAGATCTTCGATTACAAGTTGAACGATTGCAGAAAGAAATGTTGGTCGTCGAAGAGCTAAGTCGTAAAATGGAAACAATACATAAAAGTGAAACCGATTTCAAAGTAAAAGAGGTTGCAAAACATGAAATGATGATTCAATCGTATGAAAAAGAATCTGCTAGACTGAAGGACGAATTGCGAAAAACTACTGTAACTTGTGATTACATGAGGAGCAAATCTGAAGATATGGAGAAATTGGTCATAAAAAAGAATAGACTTTTAGAGGATCAAAAGAAATACTTGGAAGATGTGAAATCGCTTGCAAGAAGTCAAATTCAGGCAATGGAGAGTAAATATCAAGCACAGAAGAGTATTTCTATGAGGATGGAAGTACAAATCATGGAACTATATGGTAAACTTATTGCTTTAGAGGGTGAAAATGACATCACTGAATCTATAAGCCAAACTCTTGCCAAACCGATTCAACCCAACCCCCTCAGTATGCAAAATAGATATGGACATTTATTAGAAGCAAGTCCGGAATTGAGTCCTCCAATTAAGCTCAGTATGCTTGAGGAGACCTCAGTTGCCACCTCTGAACTGGAAGCGAGTACTGGCACAGACCAATAAATACCAACATTTTTTTTATATAAAGCATCTTTCCTTGTTTAAATTCTCTGGTATTTTTGCGACTGCCTAATAAGATGGATGCAGTTGACGTATTTGAAATTTCTTTTTGATTCCAAGTTATCATTTGAGTTAGCCCTCCTCTGTTATTATTTACAGTTATTTCAGTAGCTATGAAACTAATTTCTAATTCCATCCATGGCTAGTCGAAAAGGCAGTTTGGATGTCAAAATTGTTTATTTGAAGATCATTCAAATGTAGTGAATGCGCTTCATTCCAAAACAATGTGTTTGCCGTACTATTGATTGCAAGACTTAATGTGACCCCTTTCTAATAAATAATTACACTGTGACTACTTGATAAATAGTTTGACCAGAGCAAGAATAATGATTTGAAACTTTGCATATACAAACCATAAATAAAACGATAAGCTCTGCAGTTGACATGACATTCCTTCGAAGGGAAATACCTATAATCCTAAAATTGAATCTCAATTTAACTTCTAATGGGACAGAAAACTTCATTTATTTCATTATTTACGTTCCATCCACGTATTTTCAAGGAGTTTTTGAATAAAACATCCTTTCGCCTTACTATTCGTTATTTGTAGCTAGTTATTTTTGAGGCGGAGCTCGAGACTTGACAAATTCTGAAAAGAGGGCGCGGCGGGGGACCACTGGTCTACACGAACACGAAATTGTTTCTATACTATCATTCAAAAGACTTAGTCGTTTGAGGACTGCAAAGTGAGGTCGAACAGAATAGCACTTGTCGATGCTCATGAAATCGTCAAATAATTCAGGTTTGTCTACAACGGCAATAACTACCGGTAATTGAAGCTCTGCAATGGCAACTAAAGAATTACTAATACCGTAATAATGAACGAAAGTTGACGACGGAGATGGTTAGCCACTGGGACAGAGTCCATGCTTCCGAAAACAAATAACTGGATACGGTAAGTAATCCCATGGACGTTGGTTCGAAAAAATTCCTTAGAAGTAGTTGTATATCGTTGAGTCCTATTATGGACGAGCCTGTTATTTACGTAAAACTAAGCATGGCTCACCGTGTATACCTACAAATTTTGAAGTTTAGACAACTCGTAAAATAGCTTAAGCATGTGTAGGACCTGTCCGTGGCGGTTATACCTCAAATCCGGGTATGTGGCCCGCAGCTTCATCATCTGTGGCCCGCGTCGCATTTTGTGTTGTTTCATCATAAAAATAAACCAGATCTTTTGACATATTGTTACATCACTAATGTCACTAAATTGACTAGTGTTATGGCGAGCTGAAGCAACTAGTGGAGTTGAATGATGTGCTCGACTAGTGTAAAATGTTAACTGGCTTTCTATGCTTTTTGGTCGGAAATATATGCTAACGATATTGGCATCATAGAAAACTGAAAATCGAATCGAAAATCTATTAGACAAGATTGGCTATGCCTGATAACTAAATGGTAATGTTATGACCTAACAATATGATACCTGTCGGGTGTTTTTTGCAACCAGCCTAAACGGTATAACAAAAAATGATGTCAGAAAATTTATTAATTACCCTCCTGTACCTCACATTTGTTAGTTATTTTGTAAAAATGTTTTTTAAAAAAAAAGCTGACCAATTCAAACAGATTTTTAACTGGATGTAAGAGGGAAAATATAACAATGCTTGCTTGATATGTCGACAAGTTGTGTCGGTGACAAAATAATATAATCTAAACGGCATTTAGGAATCTTGTGAGCAATGAGCATTTTCCAAAGTCAAGGGATTTTGCTTTATTGAATCTTATCGGTGTTCGAAATCACTTACATTTGCGGAAAAACCCAGAAGCACTTGAGATCTTACACTAATGGTGGATATAGAAAAGACTTTTGCACGTTTTAGTGAGTTATTTGGTGGTTTTTGCATCTTTTAGCTTAAATAACGAATATTGTCAATGCGATTGCATAATAAAAGTGTTTGTTTTGTTTTGCACTGTTTACCTATTCTTGGTATTATTTGCCTGCGAACAATGCAAAAATAATTATGTGGCCTTCGAAGCTGAGAGACAACCTTGGTCCACCCTGGGGTGTACAAGTGGTACACGTGGGACACGACATTTTGGAGACACCGTCCACCCTGCCCTAGTTCATTGGTTTACATACCAGAGTTCCGCCACAACAGTGCAGGGGTTTCGCGATTTTCCTTTCGGGTCGAGAGCCTATATATCAGGGGTCGACAAATACGGCCCGCGGGCCGGATGCGGCCTGCGGAGCAGTATAATCCGGCACGCGACGCTTCACAGAATTATATTAAATTTTTTACGCGACAGAATTTGTTTTGAGACACTAAATGATATCATAACCGAACAAGTATATATATAATTCACATTTCACAGTCACTCGTTTAATGAGCCTCAGTATAATTGATTATAATTAGACAAATGGCAACAGAACGTAAAAAAAGTCGATGCTGAGTGCAAATGGTTTAATGACGCAGAAAATATTCAAATGATCAGTCTTCGCCAGGTCTTCGCACTGCTTGAAACTTGTGAAAGAAATCTGTGTCGTCATCATCATTAGTATGTAAGTTGATGATCGTCACGGATATCGCACGCTAAGGCGTACCTTCGTAAGGTAGCGATTTTAGATGCTTCGAAATATTTTAGGTTGATGTGACAAACCTTGGCGTTTTGAGCCGAGTATTTGCATGAACGGCAGCTTACTCGTGATCTACTAATGAAATAGCTTAGTTTCTCGGACAAGTTGCAAAACAGAAGTAATTGTGCATGAATAAATATGAAATCATGGAGTATTGAAAGTTTAATAAATGATAGATTTCGCGGCAAGAAATATTCTTATGGAAGAGCTGATCAAAATTATAATCCCCCAAGCTGGACGACTTCAATATGGCGCTAAGTCATATAATATTTTTATTTCTGTGAAACAATGGACAATGAGAGAGAGAGAGAGATTTATTGAGTTGTCAACCGAAAAACCAACAATGGTATACAAAATAATATATACAATATACACAAAGTTAATTCGGTATAGACTGGGGGGAGCGATACGACCATAAGGTCATCGGAGTCAGCTCCCCCTAATGCTTTTGTCCGCTTCGAACTGTAAACTTGAAAAAGAATGACTTGAGCCATCAATGCTATCAAGACATGAAATTCTTGCTTTGGCAGCTTTCCCCCTCACGCCCATGCAACAGAAAACATCTGTCTCATAACGTATCTCGTGGTGGCCGTTGCACAATAATGGGTATCGGCGTTTGACACAGTGTAAAAGTATTTAAGGTTTCCCCCCGATTAATCATGATAGTTCCAAGTAAACCCGACGACGTCTTTGCATTTTTTGAATTTCGACCTGTTAGTTTGTGAAATATGTGCCAACCAAGAAATAAACCCAGCCGGATGACTGCGTTCCTACATGCAGTTAATTATGCTCTTGTTGCAATTTTTGTTTTTAATACCTTCGTCTGATACAGGGGTGGCCAACACGTTGATCGACGTCTCGTGTAGTCGATCGTGTCTGATGTTGGATGAATTTAATAACATAGCCTACCCCCCAAAATTGCCTTGAAACAGTTTCATGCAGCGCCTGTTGTGTGTTTCAAAACAGAACGAATAAAGTAGGCTACTCTGTACATGCGCAATCAGTAATCAGTAGTTTATTTTCTCACCATACTGAATGCACACTTGATATACAAATTGCAATAAATAAATAAAAGGCATTTCAGGGTGAGGGGAGCCGCGAGAAACCAAATTTGGTTATCGAGCAGCGGCACCCATAAGCAAGTCTAACAAGGAAATAATAACAAAAAAAAAACTGTGTATATACAGTATCATATATACGTTAATTTGAAAATAAATATAAATACGTCAAGGCATTATAGGGCAACAAAGATTCGACCCTATCTGCGTGTCCACACTCCCGTGTTATTGAACACACGTTAACAGAGTGTAACTCCGATCTTGACTCCTTCAGAGGTCAAAAAGCACACAATGTATTGAATGCCAATTGTTATATTGTAAAGTTGCACAATCGAATTGATCCAAATAACGAATTACACTTGAAACCTTAAAGCAAGTATATGTGATGAAACCAAATTTCTAACTAACAAAGAACGGCAAAGACACGCTACACTGAGAGAGAGAAATATATCATAAAGGAAATGAATTGGGACAACGACCTTGTTTCAGGCAAATAACATGCACTACTAACAATAAGTGGTGAAAATATTAAAATACACAGTAACTATCCTTATGTACTTGCTACACAATTCCCCCCGACAATGAAAAAAAGTAGTTTGCTAATTTTTAAATTTTGTAAGACTAGCTAATAACGATTTCTGATTGAATAATATGTCGTAAAATTTGCCATGTATTGGTGTATTTAATTCTGCATCAAAGTCGCTGATGACCAACTAATGCAACGACACAGGAAAACCAATTTGATTGAGATACCTCCGGTTGAAGGATCTTTTGCGGTGAAATCTACAGATTTTCACGAAATCTTCGATAACACCCAGAACTAAGCCATTGCGTTTGGACAATCGACTTCTTTCTGTTTTGTAAAATAATGAGCGTAATAGTTGATTTGAAGAATATTGTTGACGTTAAGATTTCGTTCGTTGAAAACATTCCTCTAAGCTTTGAAAACCCGTCCAACTCTCGGATTTTTCAATCTGGGAAGATTGTCCGATGAATTGAAATGTAACAAGAGTGTGGTAGCGTTGAATTTCGGAGAGTCGACGGCCGTGCAACTTTCGTATCATCAACGTTCCAGACAAATGTAAACGCACCTTTCCGGCAAAACCCGGAATTGGGTGAGCATTGGCTTAAATCAGCTAGGGGAGAGTGAAGTTTTCGTGTTATGTGATTGAAGTAGAGAGGACCCTTCCACGCGGGTCACGAGTATTTGGGTTCGACTTGGTTTCCAATGATGCTGAAATAGATGATGATCGACTTGAGAGAATAAAGTAGATGTTCGTTCGTACGTTCGTCAAACAGTAGGTCGCTAAATGCTGCTTCTTGGTGTAAAAAAATCGGCTTGCGTAGATAATATCAATGTTTTTTTTTCTACGTAGCTTGCTTTGTCGATGAACACATTTCAAAATCCAGTAATAATACGAAGTTGTCCTGCTAACTTTAAATTGTAATGAGGCGGATTGATCTGCTGAAGTCCATATCTCTTGATCCGGTTGACACACAAAACATATAGTTGTAATATATAGGTTGATAATGAGACACAAATTCAAAGAATTTGGGCGTTGATGCTTGGAAAATAAAAATACACGAGCGTGAACTCGGGCGTTAAACTTGAAGAGTTGAAGTTGAGTTAGTGCTGTCTGATCGTAGGAGGTCCTGGTCCAGATTCCTCGTTTTGAGTCAAAAATCTACCTTGTTCTGGCCTTCTTGACTGCTTAATAAATTGACATACCGCCAAAGACTGCAGTTTGGTTGGTTGCTTGATTCCTGAAATGCTGACGTATTGTCCACTGACTCGGTTAGTAATGAATTTCTTTTCCATTTTGATTGACGAAGTTGATTGCTTATTGATCACGAACGGGCATCACCAAAATATAGGGCAACAAAGATTCGACCCTATCTGCGTGTCCACACTCCCGTGTTATTGAACACACGTTAACAGAGTGTAACTCCGATCTTGACTCCTTCAGAGGTCAAAAAGCACACAATGTATTGAATGCCAATTGTTATATTGTAAAGTTGCACAATCGAATTGATCCAAATAACGAATTACACTTGAAACCTTAAAGCAAGTATATGTGATGAAACCAAATTTCTAACTAACAAAGAACGGCAAAGACAAGCTACACTGAGAGAGAGAAATATATCATAAAGGAAATGAATTGGGACAACGACCTTGTTTCAGGCAAATAACATGCACTACTAACAATAAGTGGTGAAAATATTAAAATACACAGTAACTATCCTTATGTACTTGCTACAGCATTCCAACCAGGTATGCAAAATAACAATCCTACAATACCTTTTGTAGTTTGAAGCTATTTTGTAGATTTTAGTCGATCGCTGTCGGAAGCAAGTTGGCCACCCCTGGTCTAATATATATATGATAGTCACCAGGTAATTTTTTGATATAAACATAAGCACAGCCGGTGTAAGGGGGCAGCCGCCCCGGGCAGCACGTTGTAGGGGGCAGCAGAACCAAGCTGTAGGCGTTATTACACATGTTTTTCTCGATGTGTTTTTATTTAATTAGAAGCTGACATTATGTATTTAGTCTTATGCGACTGACTGTGGTGATGGTGAGTCAACAATGGATGTTTTCCCGACCCTTGACCCAAGAAAAATTCTTCCTATCCTATTTTACAATTGCAACTTTTTGGTGCTCATTGTAAGGGTGGTTTCGCGAGTTAGCGCCTTAAACTGGTTTATATGTTTCAAACAATCATCTTAATTCAAAATATTCAACCCTGTTGTTGAAAAGTACCGGTAAAAAGGTTTAGCCTCGTTTATCAAAGCTATTTTTGAACTATTTTTTGATTACTGCAATTAAACTATATGAGAAGACAGTATGATCCTTGGATTCCATTATCTTTGGACCCACGTACTTTTGCACCCACGGACATTTGCATCAATGAACAATTGCACCCGCAGATTTTACCACCCACATACAGATTGCACCCATGAACATTTCCACCCATGGAAATTTGCACCTATGTACTTTTGCACCCACGGACATTTGCACCCAGTATATTTGTACTCGAGGACATTTGGACCCGCGTATATTTGCACCCACATACCTTTGCAGCCGCGTACATTTTCACCAACGTACAATTGAACCCGCGTACATTTACATCCATGAACATTTGCGCCCACGGATATTCGCATCTATGGACCCCTGCACTTATGGAATTTTGCATCCGTAAACATGTACACCTATTGATACCATTGATTGTCTTTAAGGTAAAATGCTCTATTGCCAATTGTGCCGAAATAGGGACATCCTAATGTAATATTTTGTATTGAAAACGAAACTCACTGCAAACTTGAACGTACCGGTATATGCGGGTGGTAAAATTTATGGGTGGAAATATATGGGTGCAAATGTGGGTGGGTGTAAAAGCATGCAGGTGCAAATGTCCTGGTGCAGTTTACGGGAGCAAATGTGCTGTCACCTAATCATTGAGTTATTTGATTCGTTCTGAAATTTCCAAAACACAACCAAGAACTAACAAATGGCATGTGAAAACGAGGTAATGTTTACAACCATGCCAGAAAATCTGTCTGTGCGACTACTAAAACGTCTACTGTTAGGTACGTCGCTTTTCCGAAGTGGAAACAGAGCTTTTCCAAGAAATGCTAAAGATTTTCTTGCTTTATTGGTTAATACCCGCATGTTTTTTCAACTTTGTGCGTTGCATATTGTTTATTATACTCACAATCGGCTACTCAATTGCTAGTTGCAAACGATCTTCCTCAAAGTTGAAACAGTTTCCATGTTACTGTTGGTGAGTGGGCTTTGGAGAATTAGCTACCAACATCGCTTGATAAAGATTACAATAAAGTGCCATCAGACGACCAGTTGGATAGGGCACCGAATGGTCGGTGTCGGGCCATCATTTAAGTTTTCACGGTTTCAGTAGTAGTTTTCCAGCCAGTTTTTTGAAACACACCAGGATGTGTGTACTGTAGATGGAAATGCTGTTGGTGCCAACGTTGGGACGTGGTTCAAATAAACTGCGTTTAATTGATGAGCGCTAACGTATGGAAACAAATGTGCGTTAATGCAAAAGTGCTGTCAGTCGTTTCCTGTTCACTTGCAGAAGGTATTTTAGAAAATTCGAGCGCAAAAATAGACAATTATACACGCCGAGTAGTCAATGTTATCATGAAGCATGCTACTAAGAATAAGGTCAGGAGAACAATTAGCACACCCTCAAATAAGCACTTGTGGTAGGCGCGTCCTTCGTATGGAGACTTTGCGGCAAAAAGCATTAAGAAAATGTCAAAGCAAAAAATATCAATAATGCACACCTACATCCACCTTGCTTGCGGGAGCAATATAATTGGGATTGTGAGAAGGAAAACATTATTAGCATTTTGTTAGCCGATCACATCGTGTCTTAAACATTTAGGTTATTGGCATGAAATGATTCACACGATATTCGAGAATATTGCAAGAGGTAGACTGAGACTACATGGAACAGCAATGTACATGAAACATATGTTTATTTGAGGTATGACAGTAAAAAATATTTGGCAGGCAGAGGTGTCAAGACAAATTAGGCAAATAACGGTTAAAAATACTGATAATAAAATCCACGCAAGTCTCACTACGATACGCCGTGATAGAATTACGTTTATACCAAAAAGTAAAGAGTTATTTTGTTAGTAAGCTAAATTTCTAATTGAAAAATAGGCGCTAGAACAAAGCTGCCGCGGAGCTCGAGTTACATGTCTTCAACAAGTAAGTTATTTTTGTTGGCACGTTTGGAATTGACGGTTGTTTTGCTGGAGCGCTATTTGGTTCTGCCAGTTGTTCCAGTGGGCATGGTGTGTGAGGCGTTTCGGAGTCACAACAAAGAGTAAATCGAGTTACAGTCGTAGCTGGATTTAGATTAGACTCACTATTAGAGGGTACTTTTGTGGAAAGGGGATTTAATATCTATGAACAAATTAATGCAAGCGTATAAGGTTATAACAATTAGTTATAGGCCGATTCGTTCTCTGGTCATAAAACTGCGGTGGACACCATGGACAAGTCACTCTGCAATGAGCTCTTGGATATCTTGGACATGAGGCTCTTGTACATTGTGTTGGGCATAGAGAAAATTGATTCAGTCCTGGCTGGCACGATGCTGAAAGTATAAAATGTGAAAAATAACTGCCACTGTCTTGTAGTAGTAATAATACAGTAACAAGAATAATGATTTTGCCCATAAACCTTTTATAGTTATCTTCGAAAGTTGTGTAACATGTTCAGAATTACCTTGATTTTTTTATACCGGCAATATAAACTATACTTGCCTGTGAATTGTGCTACAAAATTGTTTAAATGCCATATTTATCAAAAAAAAAATTTGAGAAAATAAGGAATGCAACGTGGGGATAACTCAATAAACCAGTGTCAGTCGAGACTCAAATGTATTAACATTTTGACAATTTGGAAACGAGAGTCAATGCACAATCAACGCCAAGAAATAACATTTTGGCATTTGGAAACGAGAGTCAATGCACAATCAACGCCAAGAAATAAGAAGTTATAACTCAATACCACTCTAATTGATGAACTAAGAATAAATATTAAATGCAAAGCATATTAGGCCAGCTTAACAAGGATACAAATTATAGTCCGAAATCGTTTTTTCGTGAGGATGGGCGGACCGAACGTCTGCAACTCGGTTCATTAAATGTTCGAGTTTAGACGATTATATATCCCGAGCAACTCTTACCCGTCCGAGAGCATGATACACGTCGTCCAAAGCTATCAAAAAACTGAAGCCAACATCCACCACAGCTGTATACGCGGCATCTAGCCTGAGAATTGGTAGCACATCTAATCCCATTACACAGGTAACTTCCACATCCTGGCGATGGAGGTCTACCGGGTGGACACACAGCTAAATAATGAAAAGTTTTCAAAGATTCAATGTTGAGATAAACCAGAAAAATTTTACTGTGATTTTTACAAATTTAACTACAGACAACGCTGCAGATTAATCATAATATATTAGCCGAGATACAGCATAAGCATGTATTACTGTTTGTATAGTTACAGGGTGGTCCAAGGTTGTCGGCTCCGCGGGCCACAAAATTATTTTTGCATCGTTCGCGGACCACAATAGTGCCAAGAATAGGTAAACAGTGCAATACAAAACAAACACTTTCATTGTACCAACACATAGTTATCAGGCATAGCCATTCTAGGCTAATAGAATCCGCATTCAATTTTCAGTTTTCTATGATGCCTGTATTGTTAGCATATTATATTCCCGACCAAAAAGTTAGAAAGTCAGATAACAATTTAGACTGCCAAGCACATCCTTCAACTTCGCTAGCTTTCCCAGCTAGCCATAACACTATTTAATTTAGTGACATTAGTGATGTCAATATGTCAAAAGATTTCTCTGGTTACTTTTATGACGAAACAACACGAAATGCGATTTTTTGATTACTCTTCGAATGTGACGCGGGCCACAGATAATGAAGCGGCGGGCCACATGAGGCCCGTGGGCCTGGCTTGGACCACCATGGTATAGTACAACAATTAGTGAAATCCTTATAAGACTGATACGTTGGAACGAAATCTGAACAAAACTAGCTGATTATACATACGAGCAGAAGAGACTGGTCGTTGACGTCGTTGTAGCAATTGAAATACTGTTAAAGTTCTCAGGAGATTTCGATCTAGAATAAGATGAACTGTAATCAGTGTTATAGTATATATAAACATATTCAGATTATATATTTTATTTCCTAATGTATGGTCGAAATATTAAATGACGAGAGGAGGTCGATGTTAACATCGTTCAAAAATGAAAGAACATTTTCTTTCCTTCAAATTTTGTTTGAAGCATGGCAAAAGTTATATCAAAGACTTGCAAGTTAGAATGCTTCCCATTTCATAGTTGCTATCAAATTGTCCACTTTTTATGGAAAGAAAATGCATAGGCCTACTTCGATTTGGTGGTTCCGGTGTTGGAACAGCCATGCAAATTGATGCACAAGCGTTCGGACAACAAATTTTACCCTCATTGCAATCTCCATTATTATTGCACTCGTCTATGCAAGGCTCAGTAGCAGTTGATGTTGGACAATCAGGATCGAATACTGTAATAAAGATATAAAGCTAAAGAAACATAAATATAGACGTTTTAGTTGAAATAGAATTTAGATATTAAACTCTAAGCCAGACTCTGTCAGAACTGTTTATTTAATTAATGATGGCAAATATAACGTATATTTGAATTCCTAAACTTTTTCTTCCATTTCTTTTGATTTCAGCTATTTCAAAATGATTGAATATGTCAAGATTGGAAAGATAAGGTAGGCGACAAATCTCCAAGATAGCTCTATTAGCGAGTATAGGTATACTATGGGCATCCAACAACAGCTAATATCACCAGAAACTCATAATGATCTGGTAAATAAGTTAGTTTGAAGTACGTATTGTACTATTAAGGAATAAGGCATAATGCTGAAAGAATCAGCTCGGCTTTTCCTCTCCCCCTGAATAAATAAGTAAATCCTATCCAGGGATAAATATATATGTAAATCTTTTTACGTAAGATTAAAAATACCCACATTTGCATTGAGGTATATCGTGAGACCATTTTGAATTTGACTGGCAGAATAATATACTTTCTCCAAATAATGTAATCCCCGATGCGCACGAAAATCTGTAAAATAGAATATATCGGGAAAAATATGGAATTAGGGCAGGGCGTTAAAAACTGATATATATGTCGAAACGGCGCTGTTTCAACCCTCGAAGCGGGTTATCACTCTATAGAAAATATGGTAACCGAATTAAGTCCGGGGAGAGATTATTACTTATCGATCTTAAGATCGGTAAGTATGTTGATAGGTATTTGTCTGTTTGTTTGTTTGTCTGTCTGTTGGATGCACGCGATATCTCACGAAAGCGAGGTTAAATCTGCTTCAAATTTACATGTGCATTCATCATAGTTCGGATCAGAAGCCTATTGATTTTCGATGAATTATGTCGTATACTTAGCGAGTTATTACTTAAATAGTGATAGGACACACTGTGTCACTATGGAGTAAGAGCGCTGTTTTGGGGGATCCCTTAACCTTCGATCGATAAGTCTTCGGTCTCCGACTGATATACTCGTTTAAGATATTGTTAGATATCAGTGGCTGCTTCTATCTGGCATTTTTTGATCAAAAAGAGCGAGAAAGCGTCGTATTACGAAAAAAAATTTGCCGGATGCCTACGCTCTTGCTATGTCATTTAGCAGCGAAGATTATTTTTTCAGGATTTATTACTTTCCTATAATGCAGTGTTTAATTAATTAAAGCCACATTCGATAAATCAAATTCTGAATTCCCCGACGTCAAATTCGACATATTTTTGAGATTAGATTCATACTATTTTATATGGATATGTACAGAGGAAGCCAAATTATGTTTTGATAAAATTATAATATACTGACGTGCATAGACTAGCATAGTTCTGACCATCTGTACATTCGATCACCCCATCCTCTATAGTCAGATCGGGACAGAACACGTCTAAAAATAAAGTAATGGTCAAATGTTTTTTGAACATGATATGTGACAACTGTGGGCCATAAGTTAATGTTACCTTTGCATGTAGGTACATTTCCATTCCAATCTCCACTTCCTTGGCAAGTTAAAGATGATGTTCCGGTCAGATCATGTCCAGAAACACACTCGAAGCTTAAAATAATAAAATCAGCTTATGGTTTATAATTTTTTGTATGGCAATAGTACTTTGTGGTATTCAACTCGATGATATGTATCAAATTATATTCCGTTCACCCGTGGAATTCTATACCAGACAACATGGTGAGAAGTCAACCGTTTTTTAGCTTATTGCAGACCGATAAAATTTCAACACTAATTTTGCGGACCTGTAAATATCTCAGTTTCTCACATAAGTATGTTGTACAAAATGTTGTACAAAATCAGCAGTAATTTTTAATGGCATTGTCACTGAGCTCAGAATATTCTTTTCAAGCGATATCCAAAACTGTAACAATGGCAATGGATTATGGATGTTCTCCGGTATGACGTGATAGATTTAACAAAACATCCAGCCCTTCGTAGGACTGCTGACTAAGTTTGATTCACGTATCAATTGGAGGTACACTAACAAAATAAATGAGCAGGCCATCCGTGGCTTGCGTTTTGCAATTGAAATATAACATTGAAATATATTTGGTGGACCGCGGCAGAAAGGTTAATTCGGGCCGGCGGTTGAGAACCACTATAATAGAAAATAAAAAGAGTGCCCCAAGTCAGCCAATAAGCCCAAAACAGAAAGTACTTTATTGTAATTTAAGTAAAAATAAATAATAATTACCTGCAAGTACTGGGATAACTAAATCGTGGCAAATTATCATCGCAAGTCATAGTACCCGGTTGATCACTAAAGTCTAGTGCAGGACAATAAATTCCTAAAAAATAAATTCCTTTTCTATTACCATGCAAAAATGATGAACGATGTTCTAAAATATAATGACAATTTATTTCGTGACTTCATGTCAATAATTTCAAGTGGTCGAATTCCGTAACAAAACAGTAATTCAGGCAGTGTGAATTCATTAAACGGTTAAACTTTAATTACACTTGAAATAATTTTATTCGGGATCCTAATTTGATAATGATAATTTTACATGATAAAATTTTCATATGCTTAGACAGCCTTAGACAATACTCACGTTCACATCTTAGCGGCGGATCACTCCATTCTTTTGATGCCTCACATTCTACATAATCTGGACCAGCAGCTTTGTAAGCGAAATTACATGAAACACTAAAAACATTTACCGTATACGTAACTAAGATAGAAAGTTGGGCGATCGGAAATAAATATAAGTTAGATGCTGTATTGATCATAAATAGGGAAATACTTACATGAACAATACAATGGATGAAAATCATGCGCCAAATTAAATCAGTTATTTTCTGTTTAGAAAACATAACAGCGTGGCTCATATACATTAATATTCTAGTAAATGTGAGTCAGTGACACGATGATTTTTTCTAGGTTTGTAACATGGCATACTGCAATAATTCACACAGCTTGCCGATCCGGTTCTATTAGAGCTCTACCCTAGCTGTAAGAAGAGTGAATAACTAATGATTTGTGAAATGTACAAAAATCGAAATTACGTGCAACGGCCTCCAAAATTAATACTGTCACAATTTGCTTGTCCGTTTTCAACTTCGCCATAATCACCACAGCTGATCGCTAAAAAATAGAGAAAAGTTCAAAAAGTTTGCACATAGTATCTAAAGATACCATATCTACATATACCACTACTCATTAGTCTTGTGGACTTTAACGAGGTAAATAAAAATTGAAGTATAATTAAGCAAAAATTCACTTTTATAAGTTTTGTCCTCGAACCTTTGACATCACCCTCTAGATATCGACTAGGAATTTATGAAAAGAAAATGGCCAAAATGCAAATAAATTAGATATGATAACTGTAATACGATACACCATGAAGTCAACTGCAGGCTTGAATTTGGGAGATTTTTAAGAAATAAAACAGGCATGGGACGATAATAGCCTAATACCTTTGACGAATAAAATTTTTATAGTCTACTGCGATTCACAAAAAGTGACCATAAACCAATACTATAATTAAGTCATTTTGGATTCACATTAGCTTCTAAAAATAAAAGTGTAAAATGCATCAGCTCACGATCGCATGACGATGGCATTGATCCTGACCATTGCTTATCAATTTCGCATTTCATGACCTTTCCGGTCACGTCTGGTTCTGTACCAATTGGACATTTAAAACTGTTAATATAATAATAGTGATATTACCTTAGTTCGATAATACCTAACCATCCATATATAAATATAATATTTGGTCTATATATACCTCAACAGATAATTAGTGGACGATAGATTATGCACACATACCATAAAGTGATCGTTCAGGCCTGGACTATTAGCCTAAATCATTCTGATCTGAGCTCCTAATAAGGGACACTCAACTATTTAATTATAAGAAAAAAGGGGAAATGTAAATGAGTTGAAAGACGCAATATTTCTTAATGTTAGATGTTGAGAAAACATTCTCAATTCAACCGGCCCGCGGGCCATAGCTTGCCCATGTCAGTTCTATAAGCACTATTGAAAATTTATTTTTCACATTCGATTGTATATAGACTAATTACCTGCACTCGCTATGATAGTCAAAACCATTGGTGCATACAAAGATCCCGGGCGGAAAAACAAGTTGTTGACACATAACGACTAAAATGAATAAAGATTTAATATATAACTAGTATGACTGTTTTTCAATAAGATGTCAGAGTAAATTCAAATATAGTCTTATCATGAAAAAATTTAAGTGTATATCTCCAATAACATATTTGTTCCAAAAACATGTGCAACTAATCTTTCAGGAACATTAATTTTGATGATGGCATCATATTGTATACCAATTCGAATGAATCAGAATGCATTATTGTTGGAGAGAATTTCAATTTATATCAAAATTATAAATAAGACCATAAATAAACAGCTCGTTTAATTTCAATTTTTCAACTAGTAATGTGCGACACAGTAATGTGCGACACAATTCAGTATTCACAAAATCTAGCAATGGACTGTATTTCAAGGCAACGAATAAAACCATCCGTTCGCGTGACTATTGCAATGCAACCAATTGCTGTGTTGGGTTTGATATTCGAAATAACGTTAGTTTCTATGCAATTCGGACGTCTTAGTGTCATATCACTCATATATATCTATTTCACTGTTGTTTATATGATCGACTCGATATTTGAAATTTGATGGGACTCGTCTTGACTTCCAGTCGAGGTACAATGTACGAGTTGCATTTTCTGGTAGATTGTCAACAAATATAAAACGACCCGCCTGTCTATGATTATATGTTCATGTAATAAAGGAATGTTTGAATTGACAATAAATTTTTTTCCCCATACCTCCGCATTGTAGCTGATCACCCGACCATTGACCATCAGATTCGCACAACGTTTTGTCGCTTCCTCCTATCGGTTCTTTGCCGTCTGGACAAGTATATCTGTAAAATAAGCAATATAATTACGATTCAGCTGAAAATTAAATAATATGATAAAATACTTTATATACATTACAATATACATCACTTCTGATAAAGCATAACTGCCAATTACAAATACACATAGAAATCAAACTTACGAACAAATTGTCCCAAAGTTTCTGCTATCTGGTGGAGTACAATCTATTGTTCCTTCAAATTGGAGTTCAGTACAAGTCCTTACTGAAATAAACAATGGCGATCAAGTCAAACAATACCAGTTCATACTTGATGTGGTTAGAAGTTGCAGAATAGAGTAAATGCAATAAATCAGCTCAATTCCGGAAAACGTATCGAATTAAAGGTAATACGTTTTCTAATGAATACAACAGACCGCTCCCTTTGTCATTTTCAGTATAGCATGACGTTATGTTCGCACAGTTTGATATGTTGAACTAAGCGGATAACAACAACAACAACACGTTTTAGCCAAGAGGCAAATGTAGAGCACTAACATTGCATACTCCAGAACAAGTAAAACAGTGCATGGGCTTAATTTCGAATCCAATCACAATCCCCACTCCCCAGCCTAGAACATTAGATTGTAGCTGATCGACTATCATAATATCCTCGTGAAATTAATGAATATGCAACGAGAGTTTGTTTGTACACACATTTTACTTACTTATGCATGAAGGGTTTGATGGAGGTGAAGGCTGCCATAAAGAAGTATCTGTACATGTAACATCAATAGTGGATCCTAATGTTGGAGTTGGACTTAGGTCGTATCCGTCCATACATCCATATCTAAAATAGAACACCAAACTTTAGCCCTACATATCTTCGTTTAATGATTAACATCTCAATACTGCATTGGCACTTTGAATATAGATCTATTATTGGAATACGTGGACAGAAAAACACCAAGATATCTGATAGGCACAACGTATTTTAATACAGAATTACATAGTTTGATATCTTCATTTGAAATACGCAACCATTTGCTGGGAATGCGAAAACAAAAACAAATTTACACTCACGTGCAGACACCACCCCATAGGTTGCCAGTCGTGCAAACAAATGTTGTTCCTTGGCCGACAAAGCTTAATGTCATGCAGGTGATTTCTAAACAATTAAAAGTTAAATTTCACAAGTAATAAATCTAAACCAAAATGTCATATTTTTTTATGGTTCCACAATGTGGATTATTCAATAATCAAAGAATATATATATATATAAAAAAATGTCATATTTTAACAAGAAAATTTTACACTACTCAATTCACATCAAAATAAATTAAAATTACAATGTCTTACGCGAACATGTTGGTGCATCGCCGGGTTCCCAACTCTGACTATTTAAACACGTCATAGAATCTGTTCCAACCAATCGAAAACCGTCATTGCAGGTAAAGCTGTAAACATCAAATTCAAATTTAAATGCAATACTAAAATATATGTTTATGTAAGTTTTAACAAAAATTAGAAATATACTAAGTGTATATATTACATAACTAATCTTACTCGCATTTACTTCCAGCAAAATAGTTTTTGTCACAATTTTCTTGTCCATTTGTTTTGTCAAATCCTGTTTCTCCACAATTTACATCTATTGTTGGATAAAAAAAGGTTAATGACTAAATTTCGAAATGCGATGAGATTCGAACATGACTCAAGACTCGGATGGACCGTGTCTCGCGACTCTAGGTTTAGATATTTGCACCCAACAACTTGCCTATTCCTAACTGCATTTTTGGTCGATCGTCATCGCAAATAAAATGATCCACCAGTTTCTCACTGCGTAATTTCACGATTTCTCAGAATCGTGTAATAAACCAGCGTTTCCCAAAGGGTGCGCCGCGAAATTTTAGAGAATTGGATTAAAAATAACTAATATATGATTGAATATTGTAAATATTGCGTTTATAATAAATGTTTGATTGTATCTTATTTTAAATGCTGTGTATATAAATCAATAAATTCATTTTATCTTTTTATGTCGTTTACTTTCTTTCACGTAATGTCTGCCTCTATTGTTGCGCAACAATATAGGTAGACACTACTTGCTGTAATTTTGTGGGCTGCACTGCTGCAGGTTAGGCATCTGCTAATCCGAGGTTACGGAACATGAGTGATATTTTAGCATTTCAAGAGAAAATAGTGCAGAGGTAATTAAGAAGAGTTGACCATTTGCCTTTATTCCTTAGACCTATATGTTAACCAACCTCAAAAGGCATAAAGTATACGTTACAAATTTCGTGTAAGTGCGCCGTGAGATTTTTTCCGTAATAATTTTGCGCCGCACGAACAAAAAGTTTGGGAACCGCTGTAATAAACGATTGCTTAAAATTTAAATTAATTTTCTTTTCCATACCGTCGCATTGAAGTTGATCACCAGACCATTGACTATCAGCTCCGCACAAAGTTATTCCGTCTCCTCCTGCCGGCTCTTTGCCGATCGGACAAGTATACCTGTAAAATAGGCAATAGTAGATTAGATTTATCCAAAAATGCTATAATATAATAGGCAATCTTATAAGATATACGTAAATATACGACACTTATAATAAGGTTCAACTACTAACTACAAAAATGCAATAAAAATAAAACTTACGAACAAATTGTCTCATAGTCTCTGCTATTTGGCGGCACACAAGTTATAAATCCTTCAAATTGCAGTTCAGGGCAAGTCCTTACTGAAATACATAATATGCGCCTTAAGTACATTAGCGATCAGGCCGAGCAATTGCAGTTCATATGTACTTAATGTAGCGAGAAAACAGAGCCGCAAAAGATAGATCAAGTCAAGCTAGAAAATTAAAGGCAATGAGTTTTATAATGAATACTACTACTACAGAATAAATTACAAGCATATGAACTTTACAACACGTTCCAAACTACAAACGTAAAGAAGAGAGCGATTCTCAAATGTAACGACACGAAAGCCTAAGCAAAATTTTTCAGTCACAATTGCTCCCAAAATCGTAACATGAAAGAAGCTGAAAATGTGGAACAGCTACCGTAACTTACCAATACCGGTACCCCGAACTGTCCTAGTTTTTTCAGTTACTGCGAGGAATATGATAAATGAGTCCGGTCACATCGTTATTGAAAATAACAAATGGAACAATGTAGCCTGTGTTGATCGGCGATTATCGAATGTTTTGTAAAAACGCATTACATATAGCCAACAAGAATTTAAAATGAAAGTTTTCCTTATAGAACACACGGAACAAATACATACCAAATTACCAGTTCACTATTTGTTTCACTTACTTATGCATACTGGGTTCGATGGAGGTGAAGGCTGCCATGAAGTATCATCGGTACATGTAACATCAATAGTGGATCCTAAGGTTGGAGTTGGATTTAGGTCGTATCCGTCCATACATCCATATCTACAATATAATACTGTACTTTGGATATTTGTGTACAATAATCAAAATCGAATTACGCAATTTAGGAAATATCGATTTCCCAGATTTTTAATATGTTTGCGGAGTATGCCATGTATTTGGTGTTCGTTTTCAAACAATAAGTCTATTGCAGACGTTTGCACGAAAACTTCGTTTTAGTTAAGGTGGCAGATTTTCATTTGAAACAGATATTAAACACAAAAAGCAGTATCAGAATGAAATAACATTTTATGAATGTGACTTTGATTTAACTTAAGACAAACCTCAATTCATATTGTATAATTTTGATGTAACGAAATATCCATAAACATGAAAAATATTTGTGTTATTAGTATTAGAGTGCAACAAAGCGTATTCTTGTACAGAATTTGATATATTCATATAAAATAAGCAACTACGCGCTTTCTTTCATTACATCTGTGACGATTTAAAAAACTTTCGTTTTTATAAATTGCTCTCAATGATTATAGATGTGAAGTAGAATTAACCAAAGTTTTCATGTAATTTATACTCACGTGCATACGCTTCCCCATAAGTTACCATTCGTACAATCAAATGTCGTTCCGTCACCAGTAAAGCTTAAGTCCGGGCAAGAGATCTCTGAACATTATATAATTTTGTTTAATATTTGATGTATATATTAAAATGTACTCCCATATAATATAAATCTGTAGTAAAATTTCTTACGTGAACACATTGGTGCATTTGCGGGTGTCCAACTCCCGCTATCATACATAGAACATGTCATAGAACCTGGGCCATCCAATCGAGAACCAATATTGCACGTAAAGCTGTAAATAATTTAGACCCTCAACGTAATAATAAAATATCTATGTTTGATAAAAACAAGTTCATCGGGAATGTCTAAAAAATAAGATAATCTCTTGATTCATACCCATTGTTAAATTTATGATGGGTGTGCTTACATCTTGTTTGAATCAAAACCCCTTCAAGCTTATTCTATTCAAGACTTTTGGACCTACTAATACTTGTTTGCCAAACTGAGTTCGACTTTATAATACCGATCAATGTATGTCATTAGAATTGGAAAAACGTCAGCAATCTCAAAAGCGACATTTACGAAAAAGGGCAACAATAATTTAATAAAATGATCCATGTCCCGTAAACAAATTACAACTGTGATCCTAACTACTGCTTTCACTTGATCCGAATTAGTGTTTCGACTAAACATTTCGAAAACGGAAGGCACGGCGTATAAGATTCTTCAATTTCTCATTCTCATTCTATTTTTTGTTTTGGTTTATACAGAGAAATACTTTTAATGCATAAATTATATAACTAATCTTACCGGCATGTACTTTCAGCAAAAAAGTTGTTATCACAATTTTCTTGTCCATTTGTATTGTCAAATCCCGTTGTTCCACAACTGACAACTGTTGTTAGATTGACAGCGTTTAATTAATGATTGCCACTGAATGTCATTCTCACGAAAATTGCTTTAATCAAATTGGGTGATCCGTCTTATACTTAAGTTCTACAAGTTCAGTATTAGTGTTTATCTAACCACACGATCCAGAATTGCTCTTAACAAAGTTTATTTTGTAAGATTAAGGACTCAAATCATAAAATGTCTTAGAATGAAAAGCATTAAAAAGCAAGAAAACAAAACGAGATTTTGTGCTCAATATGAAAGTTCTGGAGTCAAGCGAAAACTTGAAACTGAACAATCAATTAAATAGTTTTTCTTGTTGTGGCAGCGTGTTTCTTCTGATTTGCAAAACTTCAGACCACGTTTTATTAAACAATTGTTAAAACTCGAATCCAAGCTTTCGACTTACAAACTTGTGGCAGTCGTACCATTTAATATATATATATACTTACGGGGGCAACAACTACGTTCACCCGATCCTTCACATGTTGCACTATCGTACGCTAGTGGACAGAAATTTGAAGAATGCCTGCAAGTACCGGGAACATTTTGACATGCGGGATCAGTATAACTTTGTTCGGTTGTCTGACCTATAAATGGTTGATAGATATGGTACATACAAAACTATATAGTCTGTTGACTGTGCAGATACAGATGCTTGCATGTAGGCCTGTTGACAGACATAAATGGCATTCATTTTATGGCGCTCCAGAAGTATGTGTACCAATATGGAGGTATCTAATTTTGTTCGCCTAATTTACATCAAGTTGTGTAGAAGGGCGGAGCCGTATGAACAGGGGGTATATTCACTCGGCTAACATAGACAGTCTCCGAACTCGTAATAGAACTAAAATAATAAAAATCGAATAAAATTATGGCCTAACCCTAACCGGGTACTCATACTACGGGTGTACCCATTTCATTGTACATGAGTCTCTTGTAGTGCCGAGTGCTAAATTGATTTTTTACATGCCAAGGGTGTCGTTGCATCAAAAATATGGTCTGTTTTAGTGGTATAACTCACATGTACTATCACAAGCACGACAGCATTTTGAGTTTGCTTCGGTACATAACCCTTCTTCGTAACCAGCAATGCATACGTTTATAATCCAATTTTGACAAGTCCCTCCAATGTCCAAACATTGCCAGTCTGGACCTAAATAAAGCAAACTATTACAAAAAGAATACTTAAAGCACCCGACATGTTACCATCTAGTATAAAAATGCCAATCAGAAGAAGCATTTAAAGCAACTTTTGAAATGTGAATTGTTCTGCGGTTGCCTTTGCATACGGTAACTGCAGTACCGTACAAAGATCATCGAAATTGCATAATGATAAGTTGTCATTTGAAATTACAAAGGTAAGTCCTTCAAATTAACTAGCTTACTGATCACAGATTTAATTTTTTCGTTATATTTTATTTGCCATTATTTTTAACCTAGCGATCGACTTAAATGAGATCATGTAGCATTAACTGTCCGTCCATTTATTTCGCTTTATTAAGAGGTTTATTGACATAATTCCCGAAAACAAGTCTGACATCGCAACACAACATGACCAAACATTAGCAAAACATATAATACATACCAGGGCAGCAATCGCGTCCCTGCCCATCGCATTTTCCTGTGATATAGTCTCGAGGACAATAGTTTGAATTGTGCATGCAAACGCCACCAAGATTTTCACAAGCTGTATTGTCATAACTATTTATTTCATTTTGGCCTGTAAACATAATATGTTAAAGACAGCAATGCGTTAGAAGATAAAACATATATATGTGAACATTCAACAAGTCAAGAATTGGTTTTATTATTTTACTCTGTGAAAGAAACAAAAATTTAGCAAAATGTATGTTTAGGTCATAATGACGCCTCCACTGAAAACTGTTGATAATAAGGGAAACACGTAAAATGATAATTTCCCAGTGATGGAGGTGTCGAAAGTGGTTTTTTATTGTATCCAAAACTGTCGGTTCACTCGGTACATGAGATATTAATTTTTTATCATTAATCAGCGACATTAAAACTGATAACAACCGAAATAAGTTGAGTTAAAAAAGCATGATAAAGTATAACAAAAAAACGTAAATCTTTGAAGATAACTTTTTGATTAGCATTAGCTGTATACACTGAGTATTATGTCGTATATTATAGTTATAAATCAGAAAATAATACTTACATGCCCCATCACATGGTAAGCAACATTGCCTAAACTGATTTCCTGAACAAAATCCAGGTTCATAAAGTCTCGTGCATCGATTTGAAACAACATCTTGACAAGTCCCTCCCTGTTGCAAGCATCTATAATCACCACCTATATATACAATTCATTTTGTTCAGAAGACGTTAAAATTTATACATCTTCGCGCATTAATTAGGTTGGTACAACTACTTTTCGAGACAAAGAAACTATTGTGTCAGTTCCCAATGTTCGTGTTTTTAACGGTCACAATTTGGCTGGGGGAATAAACTGCAATATGCGTAACACAATTATCACAATAATTTTCTCTAGTCGCGTTGATAGGATCATCAGTATGATTTTATTCTTATACTTACCAGGACAGCATTGGCGGCCGGCTGGTCCGCCACATCTTCCTGCTATATATCCTTGTGGACAATAGTTCGTGTTATCCTGACAGTTTCCTTCTAAGGCAATTTCGCAAGCATCATCATTGTAACTATCTTCATTACTCTGACCTATGTATCAAAAAACAATTATGCCCACAAAGAAGGCATACATTAAAACAATGAGGCTAGAAAATGATTCAAAAATAGAATAAATGGAGAGATTATGAAAGTACTATATATAATAAATTAATGAATTTTAGAAATAAACTGCGATTATTTGACAGAGTTCTATTCTTTGGATAAAAGAAAATCCCATCATAATATTTTTGGCATGAATCATTTAAGAAATTTAAATATGTAAATAAGCACAACTAGAATAATATGATAAAATAAAATCTTCGAAATTTATCGAAAGAACTACACTAACATTGTAGTTTTACATTTTTTGTATAATTTAATTTTCCGTTCATAAAACTTTCAATAAGATTACGAGGCCTTCGTTCGAAGAGGATTCTAAATTGTTCAAATGGCCTAACTAATAAAATTTGTTCAATACATCGCCTAATATAATTAATATAATAAAATTCATTACGGCATAGCACACTCACAAGTCGCATCGCATGGAAGGCAACATCTTCGGAAACTACCCCCAGAACACTTCCCAGTTTGGTATCCTGCAGGGCACACGGTGAAGCGATAATCTAGGCAAGCACCTCCGCATCGGTGGTCACCTAATTGAAAAGTAAATGTTATGTATTTCTTAATTGCGGATTTTCATATGCATAAAAGAGTATTCAGGTTCGCGTCCATATAAAAAAAAACGTAATCGTTCGAAAAAATCCTGGCAAGTTAAAGTATGATTTACTTATTTCTTGTATAACTGTTAGGTAAAGACTGATCTCGAAACAGAACAATATAAAGTGTAAACTTTATTTCTTTATGCGCTTGACCCAAGAATTGGATTATCTACATATTGTCCGCATATAAAATCTTTGTCGTTAAGCATTAGGGAAAGTTTCATCTGATTAAACTAGTTCTCTATATACACTCTGACTCTGACGTTATCATTGTTCTGGTGCTTCACTAAGATTCCACTTTTAAGAGGTAAAAAACCTTAAAAATTGTAATATGTTAGGTTCCTTTTTCTTGAGCCTCTTTACTAACCATTGCACAGTTGCCATAATGATGACGCGAAAAAGACCAAATAAAATGTCCAACTTCCCATACTGACAGCTTTTAACTACAACACCGCTTAGACCAAAAATTCGTGTGTGCATAGAAACGGAGACAAGTAGGGAGTAGTGATCGTCTGAATGAAGCCAAATTTGGTCAACAAAATCCTGCCAGAGGGCAAATACGTGACCAAAATTGTTTATGCTATAGGTGAAATTACATTGTTTTTATTTGCATGGTGTCCAGCGGTACGACATTAAAGGAAGGGACATGAAGGCTTAAGCTTGTAACAACACTATTTTATTGTACTTTCATATGTGATATATAGAACCTCATTTGTATCTGTCTGTGTCAAAGCTGGAAAACATTTTTCAACACAACATATAAGACCTATTGTCTTTGAGCTCATTAGATGTAGTCTCGCATTATAGTACAAATTAGATTTTTAGTGAAATATTGTAAAAAAGGTCAAATGAATTGAGCTATAAACACTTTCAGATTGGCCATTGTTGTTTTACGTGCCCGACATTTCGAACGACAGTAATTCGATGTTATGTTCATATATAAAATGAAATGAGATATACTATAATGCACACGAAGCCCTCTTCTGGGTGCAAAATTTTATGAAGAGAAAATCTGTGACGCTGTTCAACATAGAAAACGTATACATGTATATCAGGGGTCGGCAACCTTTTGTCGCTCGCGGGCCAAAATTAAGGGTTGCAAGTATTGGCGGGCCGAACATATTTCTAGAAGTTAAAAACGGAACATGGCGCGAAGACTGCGACACTTCGTGAACTCAACTCAGTCGTCTTATCTAAAGAAAAAAATTACAAATGACATTTAATGTGACACTACATTACGCTTGGTTGCCTTCTCGACATCGACGGCACACTGAATGAAGCCAAAATTGGAACATTTCCTATATGGGCATCACTAATCCAAGTGCTCTGCTTGTTCTTTGTAAAGTTCATTTTCAAAAATAATTGTTTGCACACATATGTACTTTCAAACATCGAAGTGAATTTTTTCGCATGCTTCGTCAAATTTTGATGGAGATTTTCTTTGAGAAGATACATTTTTATAAAAATTAAGCAGTGATGTATCTCTCGAATAGAATATGAATTTTATTTTCTCATACATTGCATCTCAAGGAGTTTCATTTGAATATTTTCTGCGCTATTGTACCCCTGCACTCAGCATCAACTTTTCTGCGTGTTGTCATTTGTCTAATTATTAATAAATTGTAGGCTTATTAAACGAGTAGATGTTCAATAAATTGTTAGGTTATAATATAATTTAGTCTAAACATGTCTCGCGATAAATTCTTTTACGTAAAAAATATAATCTGGCCCTCAGGCGTCGAATATAAAATTAATTAATCTTCAAAACCGCCGTTTTTTTCGCTATAATTCAGTGAAGCGTCGCGGGCCGGATTATTTTACTCCGCGGGCCGTAGGTTGCCGAGCCCTGATGTATATGATTCATATGTGATTTACCTTTCGGTGAGCAAACTGAGCGTGCGTCGGTCTTCATTCAACCAATATGAAATTTCTGCTCATTGTTTGCACAATGTTTCCTTAGCCAGTTTGGACAGGCATAAATTTGCCCTCAAGGTATACAACACGGTTTGATAAACATGTCTTCAATTACTGTATTCTAATTATACTTTTTTTAGGACGGGAGAACCATAATTATGCATTTAAAGAATGATTGATTGCTTTTGCAGGAAAATTCATTAACAGTGTTTATCTTAAAATTCCCAGACGACGTGTGCAGAAATTTATATGGTATATATATGAGCGAGCAGAATAACAAAAATTCCTGATTTCGAGAAAAATGTTAATCATGGGCTAACTGTGGATAACGTTGGGATCACCACTGAAACGTCTTATGTTATAACTACTAATTAAACTAGTTAGATATTAATCTGACTCCAAACAGAATAGATAAATAGGTTACGTGTTCGACTGAGATGTCTGTTAATTTGATATAACAGCAAAAGTATCCAAAGAGTTGCCTGTATAGATTTTATTTCCTTGATAATATATTACAATAACTTAAATCAAATAAACCAACTCACATTTCTAACTTATTATTGTTACTTATCGATCTTAAGATCGGTAAGTATGTTGATAGGTATTTGTCTGTTTGTTTGTCTGTCTGTTAGATGCACGCGATATCTCACGAAAGCAAGGTTGAATCTGCTCCAAATTTCATGTGCATTCATCATAGCTCGGATCAGGAGCCTATTGATTTTCGATGAATTATGCCGTATAATCAGCGAGTTATTAATTAATTAGTGATAGGACACACGGTGTCACTATGGAGTAAGAGCGCTGTTTTGGGGAATCCCCTAACCTTCGATCGATAAGTCTTCGGTCTCCGACCGATATTCTCGTATTGATAGTTGACTAGTAGAGATTATCAGATTAATTGTACCTAATGAATGATCTCTTGTTCGTTTGAGATCGCATTTTAAAGTATATCACAATTCAAACAGTCTTTTCTCGATGATTCTAGAGAAATCCATGTAAAACGGGGGTGATTCATCATATCATATGGGAATTATTCACTTTTGCATACGGCTATGTGTCGAAATATTATATTAGAACGTTCTAGAATAATCTTCAATATTTTATGACGTTGAAATTATTTTTAGATTTGATGTCATTATTTCCAAAATTATTGGTGAATTTGTTACATAATTATCCCGATTTTCTTTATTTTAGTTCTATTACGAGTTCGGAGACTGTCTGTGTTAGCCAAGTAAATATACCCACTGTCCATAGGTTTTAGTCCCACTACACATCTTGATGTAATATAGGCGAACAAAATTATTTACCACCATATTGGTACACATTCTTTTGAAGCGCCATTTCTTTAGTTTTTATATTTTCGAGTGTATAGTATTAGGCATATCGCTTATCATTATATTGAAAAGCAGTGGACTGATTACGCTCCCTTGAGGAATCCCGTTTTCTAATGAGAAAATATTTGAAAGACAATGAGCCTCGTGCCAAACTAAATTTAACCGCAATGTCAACAAATTCCTTGATCTATTTTAGCTGAAACATCACAATTTGATTTCAGTTTAGTTGTAGCAGCATCAGGCGGGCCAGATCGAATTACCCAATGGGCCGGATTTGGCCCGCGGGCCGTACTTTGCCCATGTCTGATAGATATGGTATGTGTGTGGTAAATATCGTGTTTGCTATTGACATGCGCTTCAGCAAATATATCTCTAACGAAGCATACAATCTAAATTATCTCCTATAGGAAGTAGTGCGATATTAAACACACAATATGGGATGCATTGAAATAAACTTACCCAGTCAGAGAATTTATGCGCATAAAAAGCATTCGAGTGGGATAAACAATGTTGTAAGTCAACCAACTGCGTTTACATATACATTTTTTCGACGCATCCAATCATGGCAACAAATTACGCTCTATATAAGGTATCAAACGAGATTTGTTTTAGTTTGTCAATGTAACACCAACTAAGTAAAAGAATAGTTGAAGAAAATGTATGTACGGCGGTGCATAAATGATTTTTGAGACGGATACAGAGACGATGAGGTATTAATGAATGACAGCACCGCACAGATTTACAAATTCCTTCGATAGGGGTCGTAACTTGCCATATATATATACAGCCAGAAATATGCATATAACGGCAACTCATACGCAGCCAACCAAATAGACATATACTGCCAAGGTCCCATGCATATACAGCCAACTCAATCTACAAATACAGCCATTTGGTTGACGTGGAGATACTGCCAATTTTTTCCTTAAGCATACAATATATACCCTTATGTAAGGTTGCCTACAAGCTATATGAACATTACGATAAATAAAAAATCTACAATTCAAGGTGGATGGACAGATATATGAGAATTCGCAATCTAATAAATCATAATTTTCCGCAACAGCTGATAGCTCATATAATTAGTGCGTTGAAAACGCGTACAAAAACTATGAAACGGCTATTGATAGAATTTTTTTTTTCATAAGCACTTCGCAATGAATGCATTTCGTGCAGACCAAATAATATTCACACTTTACATGAATATAAGATATAAGTTAGTACATTTATCATCAAATACACAACCCAAATATTGATTGCAAAACTATGCACCGCATGAGGATTTCTCGTGTTCTGTTACAAGCGGTTACCATCGAGGCGAATTATGTCACAGAGGATAACTTTGGTCGTAAGGTAAGTATCGGTACCGGTACCGTAATGCTGAGTGAAAGTAGTGACAGAAATATTAGGAATTACATAAAATAATTATGAGGTAGACGTAATATAATGCCATGATATATTCATTCGCGCCTAGTCTACAAGTTAAATGCTCACATTATGACATAAAACCATAGTTTACTGAATATAGTTCGCTCACGGTCGGTTCGCTACGCATGAGTGATGCGTTACTACGTCATCAGTTTGCTATATTTTGAAGCTTACGGTAGAGGATTTCCGTTTGAATTTATTTGCATATTTGTAATGGTTTTGTTGGTTGAAATAATTGAAAAGATATACTGACGCATTAGAATAAAGTGGGGGTCGTGGCATCTGCCAATCATCTCTGCGTCGGTACCATAAGTTATCAAAGTGGAGTAGGGGCAGAGTAATTCCGTTATTCTGTGATTGCATTTATTGGATGGTAATTAAAGGTTTATACCGGGATTATAGCACAAAAGTGAGAATTCAGATACTCCCAAGTATGGGCGATATAAAATACCGAATCCGGAGGATTTGAATACCTAGGACTCGGTTTCCGTCTCTTCGGTTCCGTGCGTCAATTTTTGTACTTCGGATTTATAATTTAATAATCAGGGACGAGCGTTATTCTCTCGCGACGAAATCTGTCTCGCGTGATTATACGAGTTCTCCCGGAAAATGACGTGTCCATATATTTGAGCATTGCTCTCTTGTTTATGTAGGATGTAGCTATCGATGATCATTGACGAATTGGGGTATCGAATATCTCGCTTATTTTTTTTGCCGTCGTCCACCTTTTGTTTGAAAGTATTTTATAATTATTGGACACGTGGGTGGACCTATGGATCGTTTTGATATTATGTTGTTGTTTTTGTTGATACTCTTCTTTTTCGTCATGATAAAGTCGCTTTTTTTCGAATACTGGACCAATTGCTTTGGAATTTTCAGTAGTTGAAGATCGGTTTTACTCTATTACTTTTATTTATTCCTAAATTTTCTATGATACTTATGAGATCTAATATATCATGCAAAATTGCGCTGTATTACTTTATAATTATGGAAACACGGTTCTGAATCCGCCAAGCGTGACGGCTGACTGTGAAAATTCTTGCGACTGGAAACTCAGAAGTTTTTGAGTGTACGGTACCGGTAACGTCAAAGGTAAGAACTGATTCGCTCTGGTCCACCTGTTCATAGATTCGAGCGTTGCTCTCTTGCCTCATATGTTATCGTAATAGTCCTTGGCGCTGCTGCAATAAATCACAGCCAACGTGACAGGACGCCGACTCGAACTATAATAGCGTAATAATGGAGTACATTGATGACTACCTTTCTTTGAATTGATCACCAAAAAATCACCTACCGGTACCTATACGGTACCGGTACTGCGCTTCTTTGCAACTGACCCGAGTACTTGATTAAGTCTATATTATTAAGCCATGTCATCGGCTTACCTGTCCGCTGGGTTAAATATTCGAATCCTGTCCCTTTATCCGGTCGCAGCCAAATTGACTATAAAGTGTTATAGTCACTTTGGTCGCAACGTATCAATAACGTACCGTTATTCTACTCTGCCAATCAAAGCGCAGCTCTGCGAACGAATCAGATGTGCGTGGAGTCGTAATTTGCGTACATCATGTCAGGGGATACTGAAAGATTCAGTCTAAAGGGAATTATAGTTAATCGTTATATTTTTTTTTACTCCACATCGATATATAACATATTTTATGTCTTTTCGTGCAACCGTTTAATTCTACGGTGCATTTCATCTTTTATGAATTTGGTCACTGATTTAAATAATAAAAAAACATGCTCGTAACCAGGATGTTATGTTTTTATTTTTATTTTAAATACTTATGATGGATATTTGGTATTTTTTGTTTTTTGAAAATGTTCTTTTTTTCTTCAAAATATTTATTTTGAAATGTTTTGGTGTTTCATTAACTTTTTAAGCTATTAACCTGAATCAACAAGCGTTTTAGGTGTCGCTGCCTGAAGACCTCTTGAGGTCCCTCGCGACTCCTGTCACACAATTTAAGTTAGTTTCCACTTGTATTTGTAATTATTTTTTTATATATCATACCATGTTTAAATTGTGTTGACGAATAAATGATGATTGATTGATTGATTGAGTATAGTGTCTATAATAGCGTACGCAAAATAGCGAAAAAATCATATATACAAACATACATACATACATACATATTCGATATTTTTATAAACACTTCAAACAATATTCGATGGTCTTTATATTCGAATATTGAATTCGAACTGGGCATCCCCGTCAGTCATGTTTACTCATTTTTGAGAGTAAAACACTTTTATTATGTTATAAATGCGGGATGAATCCAAGCACATTGATGCTGACGCTTACCCTTGAGAATAAGGTGATTGAGGAACAAAGCGAAAACGGCGAAATTGATTCATGATTATACTAAACCAAATACGAGTTGTTTATGGAAACAAATACTTAACACCGAATTGATACACCAGAATTCGATTTACAAACTATACTTTCTCTGCGTATACTTTTCCGGATATTTAATGTTCTTCCACAAACTCACGATGGACTTTAAAAATCACAAAGTTGTACTCTTGCATGGCAATTTCTTTCATTGACTCAACGGTATAAAATATTTAATCATTTTAGTTGATGAGGATTTTGAATCAGTGACATCTTTGTATAAAACGGAAAAAATGTTTCTACTTAGCAAACTGAGCATTCCGCTGATGGTCCATCTCATCAGTAAATTTGCATTACTAGTGACTGGAATATCTTGCTAAGCCTTATGATAGGATAGGATTTACATATTTATCCCGATGGATAAAAAGCTGATAAGATGCTCAATGATATAGCTAACCTTGGTCTCTCGTTCAGATACCAGTCCATGTTGGGTATGGGATTATGGGAAATTTGTTTTCATCGCGGCCACCACGCCAATAAATAACTGAATTCTTCTGTCTAGTGTCATAAAAAATACATGTTATTTTGTTAGCAGTCTTGTGTTGGGTAATTCTCGTTTGCGAAATGAATTTGAGAATGAAATAACGGTAACAAACTTGAGAGTGCGAAGATCCAAATTTGCAAAAATATATTGTGTAAATGTAATTTGTAAGTTTTCCAAGAATAGACTTTGGTGAAAGAGAATTTGTTCAAGAATACAATTTTGCGATGAAGAGGGTTTTAAAAAACGGGCGTTGGCCAGAATGCAGATATGCAAAAAAATAACTTTGTCTGCGGTGCGAAAAATTTATACACAATCCCCCATCTACATCATTCCCTTTAACCATCGAAGTCATGGGCCACGGCATATGCCTGATGCAAAGTTTCATTCACACTTATTAAACCCAGACGGACGCGCTAATGATGGTATGATTAAATAAACAATGATTATTTTTAAAACACAGCTCAAAAATGAAATTCGTGACATGTAAAAAAGGGAGTCAACTTTATAGCAACAAACTTTACGGAAGTGCAGTTTTGCATAAATATACTTTTGGCGGGAAAGTTATTTTGCAGCAATTTTTATGAAAGATGTAGTTTAATTTAATGAATAAATTCAGTAGTAATTCTAATTTAATCCTAAATTAATAATGCTGTTGTCTATTTCTCTAACTCTGGCCATTGAACCATTTATGAAAAATCTGATTTCTGTCGTCAAATTTGAAATAGAAGTCAGTTCTCACAAAACAACTCATTGACATTAATCTCTAAAGTTTGTTCTCGCAAAAATACAATACCGAAAAGGTTTGTTCTCGCGAAAACCATTCGGTTTGCACGCTGGATGAGGCGCAGTTCTTACCACTTCATGGCAGCTCCTGCCACGAACGAACCGCGGCAGCTCTTGCCATGGTTTTATCAGAGCCATTTATAGCGCTATTCAGTTATCGGTATTAACGGTATAGTCACAAATTAATGTACCTGATTTTAATTATGCGAAATTCCATCTACTTAAATCCTAACCCTAAGCCCAAATTCATCTAAACTGTAGTCATAAGAAAAACGTTCCAACACACCCAAAATTTGTCACCATAAGGGGCAGCCCTGTCTTTACGGCCCATCTGCCGTGGTTACGGCAGCAAAATTTTACCTGCCATTGGTTTTTAATTTGCTGCCGCGGTAACGGCAGCTGGTCATTGGTTTGTAGCGGCTAAAAAGTCAGTCGCCATAGGTTTGGCCGTAGCGGCCATGGTATGGAAATACCGCCATGGTTTTGTGGCAGCTGCAGACGCCACAGAATACTTGAAACTGCACTTGCGCTGGATGAGGCTATCGACCAAACGAGTCAAAGGTGAACTCAATACAGTTATAGAAAGAAAAAATACTGTTTATCTATCAGTCTTTTATTATTAGTAATAATTATTAGTAAAAAATTAATAGTAGTTAGTAAGTTATTGGTCATTGATAGTCTTTTTTCGGAAGCATGGACATGATGGTGGAGGAAGCCGTCACCGACCAGCGGTTACGTGAATCACCCTGCTGCGCTGCGGCGGCAATGAGTTCAGCAATCCTCTCGCATACTAATTTTTTGACATGTCAATCCTAACCCCCACCTGACTACATCATTCAAAAATGACGTCACTACACGTCACAATCACGTCATAGAACTTTCCAAATACACGTACGATCGCCCGAAATGGCATCAGCGCCGACGATAAAGAGCTAACTAACGTCAGCGATCTCTCCCCTATCGGGATCGTTGCGACGAGAAAACGAGAGAAATAGCTGTTCGATTTCGGGCATCGTCTGCGCGTCTTGGGTGACAGTTTGTATAGCTTGAAGGGCTCTATTATGTCACTGTGACGTCTTAGTGACGTAATTTTTGGATGGGGTAGTCAGGTGGGGGTTAGGATTGATACATGAAAAAATTGTTATGCTACACCCTCTAGGAGTAGGTACGAAACTACATGAGACCCGGATAGGATTTACATATTTATCCCGACATAGCCTAACTATTCCCGCATGGGATTTCAAGATGTTTCGATATTCGGTTTGATTGAACGAACACTCTAATTTTAAAAATTATAGTGCAGTAGGCCTAGTGCTGTAGTGTGCTGCCAAACTTGAACCTCTTGTTTTCTGTTTTGCATACTGTGAATGCTGTTTTTTTGCGGTTATTTTTTATTCTCTGCCGTGATTATTCATACAATACGGTACATGTCCAAAGATCATTTCGTTAGTACGTTTTCTTTCACTTATATTCACTCCCACATGTGACTGTCTCCTGCCGACAGTTCTTTCTGAAAACTCATGAATTCTTCAGCGGCGATTTTTTTGCTTAGGTACTGAGGTACGGTAACGTTAAATCGTCTAATGAAAGCAGATAATATGGCGTACCTGTCTGTCATAATAAGGGATAGCCCTGTCTTTACGGCCCACCTGTCTGTCATAATAAGGGATAGCCCTGTCTTTACGGCCCACCTGCCGTGGTTACGGCAGCAAAATTTTACCTGCCATTGGTTTTCAATTTGCTGCCACGATAACGGCAGCTCGTCATTGGTTTGTGACAGCTGAAAATTCAGCCATGGTATGGAAATACGGCCATGGTTTTGCGGCAGCTGCAGACGCCACAGAATACTCAAAACTGCACTTGAGTTTCAGTGTACATTATTAAAAATTTAAAATAATCTAATATCTAAAGATTCTTTTGCATTTCTAGAAGAGAGCTCAATCAAAATCATGAAGTACACCTATAAGTTTTCTAATCTTCTGGGAACCATTTACAAGAAAGGAAATGTTGAATTTTTACCAAGGAAGGACATATTAGCAAGTCCTGTAGGAAATCGAATTTCACTATTCAATTTAAAAGAAAACTCGTCTGAAACACTATCTTTCACAACTAAGTACAATATTGCATGTGTTGCTTTCTCTCCTGATGGAAGGTTGGTAATTGTAATTGATGAAAATGGAAATGCATCCCTTGTGAGTCTTTTAAGTCAAACTGTTATCCATCGATTCACTTTTCGTAAACCTGTCACATGTATAAAATTTGATCCTGCTGGAACAAAATTTGCTGTTGCTATGGAGAAATTAATTTTACTATATCATGCCCCTGGTAAAACACGAGAAATTAATCCTTTCACTTTATATCGAACATATCATGGTGCTTATGACACCATCACAACATTTGATTGGACAGATGATTCCACTACTTTTGCAGCTGGTTCGAAAGATATGAACACGCGTATTTATACTACAATCCCGGGTAATCCTTTATTATTTTCACTGGGAGGGCACAAAGATGAGATTGTGGGTTGCTTTTTCGAATCAAATTCACTTGATATATATACTATTAGCAAAGATGGTGCTTTAAATGTTTGGGAGTCGAACATAGACTTGGAAAATCTAGGCAAAAAAGGATTGAATAGGAAAGATCGTCGTGCTTTAAAAATATTAAATCCTGGTGTTGATGAAGAAGAAAGTGAGATGAAAACAGAACTTTTAAATTATCATAGAGTGTCAAAATATTTTTTCAATAAAGAAGGCAATTATAATGAGGTAACATGTGTGGCTTATCACAAGAAAAATCATGTTTTAGCCACTGGGTTTTCATCCGGTTCATTTTCTTTGCATGAACTTCCCGGGTTCAATTGGATTCATTCTTTAAATATTTCGGAACAAAGAATTTCAACAGCTTGCTTCAACCCAAGTGGTGATTGGCTCTCCCTTGCATGCTCAAGTTCAGGGCAATTGCTTGTTTGGGAGTGGCACAGTGAAACGTATGTGCTGAAACAACATGGTCATTTTAATAATATGAGATGTCTCGATTATTCTCCTGATGGACGATACATTGTATCAGGTGGGGAAGATAGCAAAGTTAAAGTATGGAATACACTGACTGGATTTTGTTTCGTTACTTTCACAGAACATACTTCAAGTGTGACTGGAGTTCAGTTTACGAGGAACGGACATGTCATTGTGTCTGCTTCTCTTGATGGAACTGTTAGGGCGTTCGATATGCACAGATATAGAAATTTTCGTACTTTCACATCTCCTCACCCAGTTCAATTTGTGAGCTTAGCTGTTGATTATAGTGCAGACTTGATATGTGCAGGGTCCAACGATAATTTCAATATTTTTCTTTGGTCAATGCAAACTGGCCGTCTTCTAGATGTTTTAGCAGGACACGAGGGCCCTGTTGTCTCTTTATGCTTCTCCTCTGCTGAAGCACTTCTTGCAAGTGGATCGTGGGATGGAACTGTGAAATTATGGAGTGTTTTGGAGACCAAAAGTGCTCGAGAAACCATAACTCTCAACCAAGATGTGCTGGCAATTGCTTTTAAACCAGATGGATCTGAAATTGCAGTGTCAACTCTAAATGCTGAAATTACATTCTGGGATGTCCAAACTGCGAAGCAGATGGGTTCAATTGAGTGCAAATATGATATCATTATTGGTAGGAACGAAAATGACCGAATATCTGCAAAATCTAAATCACAAGGAAAAGCATATGATTGTATTTCTTATATTTCTGATGGACAGTGTGTTATTGCAGGAGGAAAGTTTGCAAGTATTGGTATATATAATGTTAAAGAAGGATTACTTGTGAAGAAATTTACTGTATCACAAAACTTGTCATTCGACGGTATGGAGGAATTTCTTGACAAAAGAAAAATGACTGAATTTGGACCTTCAGCTCTAATAGACACCGATGAAAGCAATGAAAAACTGATAAAACTTCCTGGTGTTCAAAAAGGTGACATGTGCAGCAGGTCATTCAAGCCGGAAGTTCGTGTCTCAGGAGTAAAATTCTCTCCTGCTGGCCGTGACTGGGCAGCTGTTACAACGGAGGGTCTTGTCATTTATTCGTTGGACAACAACTTCGTCTTTGATCCTTTCGACCTGGAGATTTCCATCACCCCAGAATTGATTCGTCAAAAAATAGAAAAGGATGAATATGCAGAGGCTATTGTGGTGGCTTTGAGGCTCAATGAAGTTCAATTGATATGTGAAGCAATTGAGAGTACTCCCATAGCAGCAATCGAGATGATAGTCAGTGGGCTAAGACAAAAATATGTGGAGAAATTGTTGGAATTCATAAGCACTCAGCTTGACAAATCATGTCATTTCCATTTTTATATTCTATGGACAAAATATATATTTTTGCATCATGCTACACAGTTGAAGCAAAGACAAAATAAAGTATTGGGTACAATTATGGGTATTCTTAAAAAGTTGACCATCAAAAAAGAAGGCTTGGGTGCAGTCTGTGAAAAAAATAGTTACCAAATACAATATATAATTGCAATGTCTAAGTACTTCGGTTCAAAACGCAAAAAGATCAGTGAAGAAGAATCAGATATTGAAGATGAAATAATGGACGATGTGTCCGAAGATTCAGGCCTTTCACTCTCTTAAATCCTTTACTCGAGCGTTAAAAAAGGTCATATTGTACTGTATAGCATTATAATGGCTTCAAAAAATGATCAATTTTGGAGAAGTGTTTATTTTCAAGATATATCTGATACATTTGGCACATTTTTCTGTTGATATACTTTGGCTCTGTCCTTTCCACAAAATTTCATTTTTGCGACTTGTTATGGCGTACTATCCGATTTATCATTATAGGCTATTGGTATTTCTTGAATATATAAACAATATTATAATTGAATCATTGGTGGTTCCCGAAATATTTTATTATCAGTTTATTAAGTTGCACAATATTAAACATGGAATAACAAATCAACATCTTTGGATTTAGAAATTTGTCAATTTTTGCATTCCATATGCCTATTTGGCTATGCATGTATTTATCATTTTTCCATGTCTGTAATGATTTCAGTGAAACTATGAATGTCATACTGCTATTTGATTAGTTTTTGAACGAATACCACTGCCAGGATTTTCAATAAACGATTTGATATGATTCTCCAGTATTTTCTTTTTTCAGCCAAATACTGTTGCTATTTAAAAAATTGCAGAGAAGTTTTATTGCATTTTCTTATTCTCTAAAATGAGTGATAAACTCCAACATATTCGTGAAAAACAGAAACGCAGAAGACAACTTCTTGCAAAACAGGTATTTATGTTTCATTTTTGGAATAAAAAGGTCATAGCCATACTATAGAAATGCCGCGCTTGTTACACAAGTAAGAGCAATTCAAATCTGCAATTCATTAAACAGTATATGAAAATTTTTAAATTTGGACATTTTTGGGTTGGAAAATACTATTTGAGGGCGAGGCAATTGAAGTTGTATAGGCAATCCAAAAATTGCCTATACTCGAAGGTTTCGGCTGTAAAATCACATTTAATATGTAGGGTTAATGTAGTCATTCACTTTTTGTGATGTATTTCCTAAAAATATTAGACGACCATGATGAGCGTAGGTATAAGATTATTTTCAAAGTGTCAAAAAAGTCTGGTGAATACAGCAAAAAAAAATTTCATCGATTGTTAAAAAAATTTCAACACTGTTAAATCCTTGTTAAAATATTCCAGTTGGGTGTCAACAGTGCTGATAAACTTCACACCGTGCTAAGCAGTAAAGTTGAACAAGAGGAGAAAAAAATCGAAACAAAATCCAGAGAAGAATCATCTACAAAATCTCAAGTTCTGACAAAAAAGCAGTCAAAAGATGATGCCGTAAGGTTTTTACTTGCTTGGATGTTGTGAATACAGGAATGCCCATGTTTGGGATTGCAAATTGGTTTTCTTCCAACTTATTCACCAAACCAAATCATGAAATAAGTCTTTACAAGATGGGATGGAATTAGTTGCAATAAAGTATCAATAAATAAGCTTTTAAAATTAAAAGTAGATGTTTTTCTATCTAATGATATTTATATATCTTGTAATCCCATTTGATAATTATTAAATATGTTTTTATTGCTAACTTTCACGCTCTTTAAAACTTTTTAGTCTCGTTCCAAAAGCCTGGATAAAGAGAAAGAATCTGAAGAAGTTTTCAAGGATTCCAGTACATTTTTAAAGGGAACACAAAGTCTGAATCCTCATAATGATTATTGCCAGAATTTTGTTGATACTGGGCAGAGACCTCAAAACTATATCAGAGATGTTGGTGAGTAGACCTGTAACATAGGCAGGCAACAAGCAATGCAATTGTGAGAATAAAAATTCTGTACCAGATCATTTTAGATAAAAGTGTTTTGAACTAACTGAGTAGTATTTCTACCTGAAATTATGGCCTAACCCTAACTTGGTACACATACTACGTTCCGGTGTTCACCATCATGGTTCACGTACTACGAGTGCACTACAGGGTTTATATACCAGCATCGTATTATTGGGGCATTATTTGCAGAACAAGTGAACTTGGAATATAATTTTACAGGTCTGGCTGATCGTTTTGAGGAATATCCTAAATTGAAAGATTTGAATTTTTTGAAAGATGAATTGATACGGAAAACAAACACTCCACCAATGTATCTCCGCTGCGACTTGGAAAATTTTGATCTTCGTGAATTAGGGTGTGTACAAAATAGGTTGTAGATTTGGCAATAACGCACAAAGCATGGAAAACATAGGTTGACATCGCATGGCTGATTACTTGTGTCATTTCGCAAGTTCATTTATATCTCATAAAAGTCAATGACATATAAGAAGATTGCTGGATTTCTTGCCCATACACGGTGGTTCTTATATCCGCTGATCCGTTACACCTTCATCATTTAATACCTTGAATCTACAACAAATTATCTAGTTAATACCGATTACTCGCTCTTTTTTGGCTTAACGAAATCACAGTTCAAGTGGGTTTTGAATATCTTGAACCATTTTAGCCTGTGCATAATTGATTTTATAATTCTCATTGCCCCATTATTAAGAGTAGGATAAAGATAATTTACTAAAACAAATTCTTACTTGCAGCACAAAGTTTGAAGTTATCCTTATTCAACCTCCGCTGGAAGAATATAGAAAACAAGCTGGAATGTCTTCAGATATGGGGAAGGCTTTCTCATGGGAAGATGTATGTTTGTTATCGATATATTTTAGGCATGAACTTCACTCCTACTCACTCAACAAGAGTGACTGACACCAGAGCTCTGTGCTGCTTTCAAATCGCGTAATAATTATCGTTCCAAATTTTACAATGATTTGAAAATATTGAATAAAACAGCAATCCCATGATATTAAATGTCATCATAACAACCCAGTAGGTATTAGTAGAGCTGTTTAGTAAAACTTTTTACTTATCGATCTTAAGATCGGTAAGTATATTAATAGGTATCTGTATGTATGTCTGTCTGTTAGATGCACGCAATATCTCACGAAGGCGTGGTTGAATCTGCTCCAAATTTTGCATGTGCATTCATCATATCTCGGACCAGAAGCCTATTGATTTTGGATGATTTATGAAGTATAATTAGCGAGTTATTAATTAATTAGTGATGAAGAGATCTGGATTTTCACAAATCGAGAGATTTTCGAGACGCGCTGAATGTGTGTGTGCGTATCAGATGCGCAAGTTTTCACGCTAGTGAGTCAGAGCGAAGGATACACACCGCTAGATCGTATCTCGTGATTAATCTTTGAGCCTTGTCCATATCTCTCTTGTAACTTTGACGTCGTCGCGATGCGCAAGTTTCCTTCGAGAAATTTTCCACACTATTGTGTCAGAGCGAAGGATACACGCCGCGAGATCGTATCTCGTTACTTATAATTACTCCTTGAAGTTTAAGCAATGTCCATATCCCTAAATCAGGTTCGGGGTTGCAGAATTCCTCACCAAAATATCGCTAGGCTGTGTTTGAATAGCAGTCGCAACCTGGGTTAGCGCCGTTGTATTTAACACAAACTATAGGATTGGTAAATACAGAAATAGGCTATTGGCTGGAAACTAATCGAAACAATCCAGTTCGGATTTGCAGAATTCTTCATAAAAGTATTTCCTCGAGTAGTATTTCGACGACATGGGGAGTTGGCTATTGTTTCCTACATTTCTGATATTGGCTGAAAACTAATCAAAACAATCCAGTTCGGGTTTGCAGAATTTTTCGAATCGAAACCGCAGTTTTTGTTTTGGGGGATCCCCTAACTTTCGATCGATAAGTCTTCGGTCTCTGACCGATATTCTCGTTTATATATTATTCTGTTGTTTTCAAATCATAATATGTAATTGAAAGTTCATACCAATGGTCTCGAGTTTTATTGTGTTTCAACATTCGAGGATTAAAATTCCTGAATATAGCTTTTGTAAATTCAAAATTTGTACAATAGTTTGATGACATTCCTGAATACAGATAATGGCAATGGAAATAGAAGAAGTGGCCGCCCCAAGGTCTTTTGTATTCCTTTGGTGTGGTTCATCTGATGGTCTTGATCATGGTAGGCAATGCTTGAAAAAATGGGGATTTCGTCGTTGTGAAGATATTTGTTGGATCAAAACCAATTTCAAAAAAAGAGTTCCAAGGAATGTTGAACAAGGTGCTCTGTTCTGCCGTTCGAAGGTACCTGTGATAATTCTTTTTTAATATTCTGTACATAAAAAGTAGAGTCCTGAAATCCGAAACGCTGGCGCGGCGGTGTGGCTCATTGTGCGTTAGGAATAATCTCGCCACCGCATCTATGATTACTCGGTGTGGGTTCGCAGGTTCGAATCCCACGCAGTGATGGTTATGTGCGAAAGGATTGCTAGACTCCTTGCAGCCGTAGGGTGGTTCATGTAGCCGTTGGTCGGTGATGGCTTCCTCCACCATCAAGTCCATGCCATATGGTTGAGCCGTCTTATCGTTTTTTCTCTCCCCCGGGATAAATTTGTAAATCCTACCCTACCCTAAAGTTGGTTGTCAATAGAGAATCTTCAACATAAATTCTTCTTTAAATTTGTCTTTCAAAATATACTTTCCTAATCATTGTAGATTTAAATCTGTGTAGTGAACATGATATATTCTTGTTTGTTCATATTGTTTATTACAAAATAATAATCATTAGTGATATTATCTCATTAATTTTCATGGAACATAGGAACATTGTTTGATGGGGATCAAAGGAACAGTAAGACGAAGTATTGATGGAGACTTCATACATGCTAATGTTGATATTGGTTAGTACTTAGTATCTAATTCAAGTTGTTGATACTGTGTTTTGGGAAGTAATTTTCGTTGCCACATCATGTGCCAAATTACAGCTGAATCCAGCCCACTTGTGTCTGCTGAAATTACGACTATAGTTTTAATGAATATAAATTTTTGTTGAAAATATCAATCAAAATAACGTCATAATGATCCCGATTGTTACACTGTGCTCCTTATTATTACATAAACATTTAGCAATTGTGTCGATGAATATTCTTATATGGATACCTCTTGTAGAATCAGTTCTGTGATGAAACTCGTAAATCTTAAATAATTATAATTTGTCTGTGTGGACAGATGTGTTTTAGTCTCCATGTAGTATGAAAAATCTATCGTGTGACAGCATATTGTGAGGCATTCTACTTTGTAACATAGTTTTGACAAGGATAATACAAATTACCATTTTTCCAAATTTAGACTTGATAATTGATGAAGAACAGGAGTTGGGAAATGAAGAAAAACCGGAAGAAATATTTCATCTCATTGAACATTTCTGTCTCAGTAGAAGAAGATTGCATTTATTTGGAATGTGAGCCTAAAACTTTAGATAATCTGACATCAATATGAAACAGCTGCTTTAATGTTACCCAGATAAAGTTCTTCAAAAAAATTCGCAATTTGATTTAATCCTAAAATTTTAAGAATATTTCACAATATTCTTGGTTTCGAATATTAAATTCTTTGGTATTATTAGTTAATTTTCTAATCATCTCAAAGATGGTATTAAAATACTCTTATATTGATATCCCAGAGATTCTTCAATTCGTCCTGGTTGGTTAACAGTGGGACCTGGTTTGACCAATAGCAATTTCAATGCGGAAACTTATCGTAATTATTTCAAAGTAACGGAAGACCATCCACATGGTTGTTTCACAGGTGATTTCTTTGTTTTGATTTGTGGGTGTACAGATGTCGGGTCTGTATATTTAGGTATTCCGCTGGAGGTGGTGGCCCAGTGATCTAAGTGTTAGATAGACCTACTGTGTTGTCATCACAGGTTAAAATCCTGGATTCGAATCCCATGCACATCTCACCAAGGCTTTATTGAATTGGGTGGGCAAAACCGAAGCAAATGATCCAGTCCTTCCTATAAGTAGCTCCTCAGCTGGAAGTGGCAGCTTGTGGAGAACCTTGTTCGAGGCAAAAGACATAATTGTGTTGTATACAAAAAAATTAGTATTTTTAAAATTGATGCATTTTGGAACAAATTGCAGATGTAACTTAGGTAATTTTACCTGATTGAACGGTGGCTTAATTTTTGGCAACATTCAAGATTTACAGCATCAAGTTTTCATTCTATTTAGGTTGTACCGAAGAAATTGAGAGACTACGGCCAAAGACCCCTCCACCTCGTGATAAGGGGGAGAGAGGAGCACATCATGGCCCTGGTGGCCGCGGATCACGTGGTGGAGGTCGAAGGGGTGAATTACATGGTCAGAGGTCCAGTCATTTGGATGGGTCACATCACTCAACTGGAACTCTGCTGCCATCAATTGGCAGAAATTTTGGGTCTGACCTTCCTGGACTAAACCCTTCATCAATTGGCCTAGGACAAAGTCCACCATTTCGAGATTCCGGTTTAGGGGTCGATGGTAACAGACAAACTTATCCACCTAATAAAATGAGAAAACGAAATCTCATGACACAGAGAGATACCAATCCAAGAGGTTTTCATAACTCTGGCCGTGGCAATTTTAGTAGGAGATAGTATCAAGAGATGTGTTTTGTCCTAAATGTTTATATCCTTTGTCTGAATAGAATAGGATGGAATTGGAGCAATGAAGCCATTGAATGTTTTGAAAGCAAGCATATTTTTAAAATTAAACGTTTTTGATGCATTTATATACCATGTGAAAAACATTGGCGAATTATAAGATTTCTGGTAATCTTAAGAAATTCTTTTGTGGCAACAGTGAATAAAGTCTTTCTGGTGTGATTTCAATGGCCATGTCTAACTGAAATTCATTCTTTTCGTTTAGTTGTGTTGCTTTTACTTCTTGTGCTCCATCGTTATATGCGGTTGCTTCATAATTGATGGTATGGTAGTAGCATGTATATGTATATATTGCCACACAATCAGACAAGTTGTGTCGCAACTTGATTGAAAACAACGAAAAGAATCTTTATGTAACTATAGCACTGGCTATTTGGACGCTTTACTTCGAAATATTAGAAGTTTTTTTTCACGTACAGAAAACAATGCGATTACACTCCCCTAAGTTTCACAAAGTGCTTTTTTCGATATTTACTTACACATGATGCGTATAGTTTTCCTTGTTTGCACTCCAAGTTTTGACCCTAAGAATCGATTCCAATGCACCGGAATCGATTCTGGAATCGAATCCGCCATCCCTAGCCATAAGTGAGTTTATTGCGAAATCGTGGCGTCCTTTCGTTGAGGGAAGTTTTATTAAAGAGTGTATGTTGAAGGCGTGTGAAATAATTTTTTAACAATGAGAGTTAACAAATCATCCTTTCGCACACGACTAACGGAAGAAAGTTTGTATGCTGTCTAAAGTCCATCAAACCAACGCAAAATAAGGCTAAACATCGAGTCTCTCACCGCTACAAAACGGTGCCAAATAACCAACACAAGTAAACGAATATATTTCATGTCTCGCTTAGTGTAATATTCAAGGGTAATTTCAACAAACATATTCAGATTTACTTTTTTGATTTTTGTATAACAATTTTGTATATAATTTGTTAGTTTGCGGCCCACATCGTCAATAAATTTCAAAGAGTGGCCCGCGACATATTTTGAGTTTGAGACCCCTGGTTGGGGCAGCAAAAATCGCCCAGCTTTACACAAAACCGGCAAATTCCTCAAAACCAACTGGAAACGTCACAGTAATTACAAGTAAAAACGCTCTTGTACAAGACGACCAATCCAGCTTTTCAACTGTTGTAACGTCGCCCCCCAAGATCAGTTTTTCAAAATCGGTAACAGCAAAATGACTTGCGCTGACCATGCAGTTTAGAGTGACTGTTCGGTACTATTGACCGACAAACACTTCCTTATTACAAGTCATCGTTGTATTAAAATCTCCGGTTCGCTGTATAAAATAGGCACGGTGGTATACACCTGGCCACACATGATTTATTTGCAAAAAAATTATATTTGAACGAGGTACACTAGCATGCAAAAAGTACATATCACGAATACTCCATATATTTTCATGTATTCAATAATAAGGTAGTTAGATAGGCTACTTTGCAGACTCAAAATGATAACATTATCCCAAACTATTTCTTTGCATACCATATCTCAGAGCCTTTGTACTACATAATAACATGTCCCGCATCCTTATGTACAAACTGAATTTACCTTTGATCTGAATTGATAACTAAAACTAACTTCTCATCGCTCCTGACTGAGCAGACACAGACTATGTGTGACCAATGACATTAAACAACATGATGCGCAACTCCGGCATTTTTGTCCGAAGATCGTATTCGATAGCACGCTCCAATGCACATACTTGACGAGACGTAAACGAGCGGATGTGTGCTGCTTTCAAGGCGTAGCACGAATGGTGTTCATGCCTGCTTTGACAGTTGTTGTCGATTTTAATGATATTTTGGAAAGTTAAGGTGAAAAGAAATACTCATTGTTAATTGCTGCTCATTGTAACATACTATTGCGCATTCACTTTTATTTCCGTATTGAATCAAAGTGTTAACAAGTTCACCTAACATTTCACTCATACCGGTCTATATTGTATAGTCTGATTTCTCAAGTATTTGGAGCCACGAATGCTTGTAATTTTCTGACTAAACCCTTTTATTAGTTGGTTTATATACCAAATTCAGTAAAATATTTTTTAAATAAAACATGAGATATTGGATTTATTAGCTTTTCCATTCTGAATCATATAGACTGCTTTATTTATTCTTAACGAAAATTAATAAATCTCCTCTCTTTCTTCAGATGTGAAAGTTGTGGACAAACCTGTCTAAGCATTGTGAGACTCTTGCAGCACAAGAGGCAATAGCAGAAATAGTAAGTATATCAATCAAGAAATTAAGCCGACATAAAGCAAAACTTTCAACTATTCGTCTAATCTCAATTTCCTATTATTTATTCACAGGACAACTATAGCAGAGGGGAGATATCAGAAGTCTGGCGACATATCAGTGACAGTGTGATTCCAAGAAATATAATGATATAAAATGTTTGCAATAGAAAAACAACCTATGGAGGCATGCAAAGACATTTGACCCTCCGGTAGAGTTGTGTATGGCCCCACATCCTGCAGGGCTTGAGGAAAATAACTAAAAATTCCAAAGCGTAAGATTGCATAAGCGGTCTTATTTGTAAAAAGGCACAAAACACGCCAGACATACTTAAAACAGCTTTGGAAATGAGGATTACGGGTACCTCACTGCACCTGTGTTATATTTGGTTCATCAACTTTTGGTAGTACTATAGAAGAAATTCCGGAAGGGGTATAATCATCATTCATGATAAAATACTATCATATATTTTTGAACAACTTCAATCTAGACCAGGGATCTCAAACTCGCGGCCCCAGAGAACTTCCAGTGCGGCCCTCGAACGCTTAACAATAATTGTAATAGTATTTTGGAAGTTTTTTTTTTATCTAAATGTAATAGATTTTTCAAACCTTCTAAAGTGAAATTGATTATTCACACAGAAAACAATTTACTGAAAGTAGTTTTGGAATATTAATTTTTTTGTCCACATTTTGACCCAATTAAGAATACACATCAAGCTAGCAAAAGAATACTTGAATAAAACACTTGAGTAATTAAATTAAACGCAAAGTACATGAAGAAGGTGGCATTTTCGAAGAAAATGGGAGTTGTAACATTTCTGCTCTTCACAAAATTCTGAAGCACATTGTTTAATTTGTCATATTTCCATCAATACAATCAAAAAACACAATAAGCTCAGCAGTCAATATGACAAATTCGAAGACCAACTTCGAACAGAAAATTTCCATGTGTTTGTATATTAATATAATTATACAACGACTTAGTTACTAAAAATCAATATCAATAATAATTCAAGCAATCCTATGCCACGCAATGTAGTGCGAAATGTCTTGTCGAAAAAATCTGTCATTTGTTTTTTTACTGATCTATACATGAAATGATAAAAGTAACTTTTTTGCATTACTGGAATTAATTAAACATTCGTAAAGATCCAGATAAACCCATGATCATGTGGCCTCGTTAGTTAGAGTTGGTACTATAAAATCATTTCAGACTGGCCTTAGTATGCTGGTGACACAAAAAAGATGCCAAACGCCAGGACAAATGTAATTATTAAAACATTGAGTTTATACTGTAGTATTTTTGTTAATTTTAGGTTCATATATTTAGATTAAGTTATTTTTAGTGTATGTATTATTCTTTCCTTATTCAAAGCTTGTTCAAAAATGATTTTGATGGTTGTACATAGAATTTTACGATTTTTTATAATAAATACTGTAACTTGCAAATGTTGCAATAATAGTGGAATGCAAATATTAATATGTAATTGCATTTGAAATTGAAGAAAATAATAAAACTTAATCCAACTGTTTAGTTGCATCACAATATATGTCACAAACTAAAACTATCTTAAAAATATCTTTTAAGTATACATTATCAAAAACTGTTTGCGGCTCTTTTTACAATTTTCAAAATGCAATGCGGCTCTCGAAAACCCATGAGTTTGACACCACTGATCTATTCTAGACGATTCAAGCATTGCTTTGGGAAATTATATCACTTCAATTAAATTGAAATAATCTCGCTATATTAAATACAAAATCGTTGCTATCATAAAGGTAAACCAATTCAGCCACTCGAAATATATTGGCCTTCACAAAGCAATGGAGGCAAAATTGAGAGTTCATGAGCTATGAACATTTGTTCTTTTCTTTGTCTTGAACTTTCCATACTCCACAGCCCCTATTAATTTTTTTTAATTTTAATTACCATGTGATGGTCATACATATCTTTAACTTGTATTTTCTGTCATGATGTATTATCTCAATGTGCCAAACTATTAATTAGTGTGCATATTTTGCTTCCAGATGACATAAATGTATTGTCTTGTTTATTACCTCAGCTTGGAGTATTGACAAGAAAAAGGTGCCTTTTTTTAACTCTTTGTTATAATCAGAATTCACAATCAATAGGAATTATAAACAGCCAACAATCAGTGAGAATTATATGCGAAATCCCTCAGAATAAATTTGTCTAAAATCGGAGGAAGGCAAAAAATATAGGTAGTTTCCATCCACACAAGCATTTCAAGAAGACTTGCTCGAGCCAAACTAAATGAGCATCGTCAGGTGATCGGTAAGGCTGCAAGTTGAATTCAGCCCTGTCAAACTATTGCATAGAAGATAATATTAATTAGTGGGCTATGAGCTAAATTCCTAAATTTAAACAAACCTATCTACGATGCATTATGTACCAGCAATGTTACCTACGATTAACTGAATATGTAATATGTCTAATAAATTCACCTACAAAAGCAAGTTCGATAGGTGCAAACTTTGTGTTATGGAATTGTATCGCAGCACAGTTTTGTATGACACCCTCTTTAAATGAAATTTCAATGATTAAGCGCAAACATTAAAATTACTAACTTTGAACTTTGTCATTATCTGCAAAATGTTCCACACAAATCTTTCCGCTATCGCGTTTGTAATCTTCTCTGATAAAAAAAAACGTCTATGATGTCCAGAATTGCTCTTTACAGCTTGCCTGCCATTCCAGCTTTCCAAGTGAGCAAAACTTCTTAGATATAGTGATTATTTTGTTTCGTTACAGGCGCAAAAAGGCAGGTACTACACGTAAAAAAGACGCCGAGTAGCAAAAGCGAGCGGAAAACGGACGCGAAAGGCGACGAGAAATATGTGCATCGGAGCGTATCATGAAATACAATCTTTTGCCTGTAGTCTTATGGAGTGACGTCAGAGTTGCCTATCATGTTGTTTCATGTCATTGGTGTGACTCATAAGTCTCGTCTGCAAGTTTGCACATTTATCGGGGTGAAATATACCATAGCAGTGTCCCAAGTCCCAGATAAGTTTCCGGTGGCCTCGGAGAAAAACATATATTGAAAAAGATGTTGTATATCAATGTGCTGTATGTAAAACCTCGCTAACGAAAACACCTTTCAAATGTACCCAGTTCCGAATTGACCCTGGTCAAATGTTGCTACCGATGCATTCATGTGAAATGGTATGGACTATTAAGTAGAGGTAGATTCGTATTCTGGTTAGTTTGAGATAAATTGGCATACACTGAGACAGTGATTCCTAACCTGGGTTCGGTGGAGCTGTTCCAGAGGTTCGACAAAGATCCTCTGAAATAGTTTATATATATTATGGGACTTTTTTATTACTTCCTCTACTAATTATGTAAAAGTAACTATAGTTTATCGCAGATATCCAAACCTGAAAATTCAACAATCAATAAATTAGCTTCGTGTATGGTTTCGCGCAGATATAAGTTTTAGTCGACTCGCTGATGTTCTTAGAATTTAGTACGTTTTATTGAAAACTCGTATATATCTCCACAGATGCCATGCGCTTTGGTGTCTGTAATTATCTATGATAACGCTTTTAGGTGCTTTCTGCTTATGGCTTCGAAATATCTTGGGTTGTTATGACAAACCAAGGATTTTAAGCTAAATATGTGCGTGTCTCTTATTTGTAAACTACCGTACTAATAAAATTTATAAACTCAGTTCCACAGATAAATCGAAGATTGGCAGTTAATGTACATAAATGAATGCAAAATCAGAGCGTGTTTGAATTTCACTAGGTGATAAATTTGCGACAAAAAAATATTTAATTTCAGAGCCTTGTTTGAAATTATTCTCATCCGTTCCAAACAACCCCAAATCATATCCTATCTCTATTCTGTAAAATAAAACAATTGGCAAAACCTTATATCCACATTTTAAAGCAGTTTGATGCTTGAGAAACGAATGACTTGAACTACTAACGTTTTTGAGGCATATTATCATCGTTTGGATTTTCAAAGTTCCTATTTCCACGTGGCACAATGGCGTATTGGTATCTAAGGATAAACGATAATGTTCATTTTCTATAACCTGGCACGAAATTAGCTTCTCTTTGTAAAGTTAGGATTGGGCTCCTAATTTCAACCGTCAGTAAGATGGGGTTCGGCGGGAGCATGCCGAATAGTGCTGTGGTTCGGCAGGCTCGGAAAGGTTAATGGACTATTAAAATCCAATGTAAGAATAGCAGCCCCTAAAATGTTTTATAAAAAATTTTTTCAATAAAATTGACCCAGAGGTTGGGACTAAAAAATGTTCCGATGCCCGAAATGTCATATCCCAAAAACAATCGTAAAGCACCCATCCCAACTTAAGCGAGGCAAAATTAGAGAGAGTTCTAATATTTAAAAAAATTCTCAAGTATTGCGACTTATTGTTTTTATTTACAGAATTGGTAACTTTCACGCTGTCGCTACCACAAAAATGACATATCCTTCGCCTTCAACTAGAGTCAGACGAGCATCATGAACAAGCGAGAGGATTCCGCTAGGGGCATACAATACTATGCGCGACATCGACAAAACGTTGTCGAAAAAACACAGAGAGCATACACTAAATCTCGAGTTTCATCGACCTTTAGTCCGCTTGATCGAAAAGTTGCGTTTCTACTTTCCTACTATTTTAGTCATGAGTTCGGTACGCGTCGCACGCACTAGACCGAAACCATGCGTCATACCACAAGTGATATCCTACTCTCTGATTGGCTGCGAACATAACAGCTGAAGTCGAGAAAGAGCTTCTCCCTTCTTTTTGAGCGATAGGCCTACTGCCTGCACAACTCACTTCGTCGAGCCGATGGGACAAAAGATCGGGGTTGACGACGCGAAAGTGCTAGGTACGGACGATTTCGTCTAGCGGTGTAGTGAGGGAGTATTCGTATGTAGATTTGCCTCTCATAGTATTCAACTTTAATAGTTTTTTTTTTATTGTATCTGTGACCTACTAAAAGCTAGAAAAGATAAAGTCATTCAGAGTATTGTATCTGTCAATTTGTACGTATAGCCTATGAACAAGTCAAGATTTTAGAAAAATTAATAGATTTTCCGAATTCTACTACACAAACCTGCAAAAAGAAATGTGGATTGGTTAGTGCAGCAGTACTGTCACTATTCTGCTATTGTCATTACAGCATTAAAATATCTGTCTTTCAGTATCTGAATGTTCAAAATATCATTTTGTCTTTATTATCATACCACATATATACCTACCATTATATTATTTATCATACCCCATACTGAACCAGTAAACCTTGACAAGAAATAAAATATTTTATCCACAGAGGAACAAAAATTTATTTGTTTTGTATTTAAGAATTTTTTGTCTATTTCAACATTATTATCATTATTGTATTTATTGCTAAATGTTTTGTATAGTAAAACTAACATTAGTGTAATTGAAGAAACCTGAATATAGCCGGATTGTTTACATTTCTGGGAGAAGTATTTTTTTAATACAATAGCGGAGACATTTTATATTAATTTTGAATACAATTCTTAATACGCGCTACCATCAGTTTTCAAGAAAAAGTTGCTTGGGAAAATGCCCCAGGATGTGGACGAGGAAAATAAGTCAAGAAGCAACCCAACCCAAGAAGATCCATCTATTGTGACACTGGACCTTGGTGACTTTCCATCAAGATATAGAGATGTTTGTCCGATTGGATGTGGATCAAAAGGATTGATATTTTCAGCAGTTGATCAGAGAAGTCTGAGAAGACTGGCTATTAAAAAGGTATTACTGATCCTTAATACTGGTATACATTGTTTATTATGCATTATGTTTGTTTATGAAATTAATCCTTTGTTTGGTGTGAAAAAGATTATAACCAGAAGACTTTTTATTTTTTTCCAATAGACATAGGTAATTATTTTATTTCGAGCTGGAGTTACATTTTGGCATCTGATATTATTTCATGTTAATTATTTCAAGATATCCGTCAACGATTATGTGTCATATTTTCCAACTCTCTGACTCTAGTGTTCGGTTTCAACTTATTTATTTTTCAGCTCACAGTAAAACAGAATGAGAAAACCAAATTTCTACGACAAATTCTGCGGGAAATTAGAATCCTTCACAGACTTGAACATCAAAATATCATCAAGATCTATCATGTTTTAGTTTCAACTGGATCTAATGCACCAGTAAGAAAAGTAACAGTCTTGGTCGCATTTTACACCAAAGAACAAAACTTAAATTTAAATGTCTACTTTCTTACAGTCTGATAAAGCTCCGCAAAGTATGCCAATTTCTAATGATGTTCCGAATATCGATTGCCTTTATGTTGGTATGGAACTTATGGATACAGACTTACGCAATGTAATATCAAAAGCGACATTAAGTACAGAATATGTCAGACTCTTCATGTATCAAATTCTTCGTGGAGTCAAGGTATTTATCAATACTCAAAATCAACAAGTTATCAATGCTTGACTTTGGAATGATTAATTCAGAGTAATTACTGATAATAAATACTCGAATTGAGTCCACAATGCCGAATCCACACGATTTTATGTTATAGATAAAGATCTAGTAAGCTAAATGATATTTGATACAGTAAGCTGAATGGTATATCTGATATTTAATTTCAAATGGGATGCTACTATTCCTGAAACATGCGTTATATTTTTAATGGATTTGTTTTATGAATATTATTTGAGATGTTATATTGGTATTAGAAATATACGATGTTACTTTATTGCTATTGCACAAAGGTGAAGGGATACTAAACAGACATGCTCTTTAAGAATTATGTTATCACCTTTGCCTTGTAGCATGCACAACTTCAATTTCTCTGCTGACCAAGCATATGACTTACCATGTGTTTTTGTATGACTTACCATGTGTAGTACAATTGAATGCCAGGTTGAGTTAAACCATGACACATTATACGTATATTCATATATTCCAAAAATAGGAGTTTATAGGGCATATATAAATGGGATTATATGATATTTACAGCTGTACAGCGATTTTAATATACTTTCCATATGTAATGATGTACTAGATTGATAATAGAGTGCAGGGATATGGAAAGATTTGTATTGTGTATTGTTGTTCTAGTAATGTATTACTATAACATCATAAGATGTTGGTGAAAATTATTGAACATCTTAATAACCAAATAACCAATATTGAGTAATGAAGTTTTAGTTCGATTACATTATTGAGAATGTGTTTTCAGGTTTTCGCTTTCACATATGAAGTCCTTTTTTAGGGTCTCTGTTTTTTGACAAAAACTTGAGTAATGATTAAATAAATCCAATTTGAAAATTTGTTTCATATGTTTTTTTTTGACTGAGATGATTGTTATTTTTATACTTTTATAGATAACATAGATAGGGATCTCAATATCGCCCATTGACAGCAGAAAATATTCATTTCATTCAGCTTGAAGTCTATCACTAACAAAATTGTTCTCTATCTATATTTCAATCGGGTTTCGATAGACGGCAATTTGCCATATCTCCTCGTTTCCGCGCAACTCGTTCAGGATTTACAGCGCTATTCTTTTCTCACCACGCTTTGACGTCATCGAACTTTTCACGTTTATATGATATGCGTAAATACGTCAACGCCTGGATATAACAATAAATACATGAACTTTAATTAGATAGAAAAGAGAAGTATGTAGGTTTAAACGCCGCTTTACATAAATTATCGCGCCGAAATCTGTCCTGTGAGATTTTCCCTCATCAATGTCTTAAATAAGTCAATTTATAAATTCCAAATCGTCTCATTTTGTAATTGATACTACGAGATCCGAAACATGCTTTCGTATGTGCACGAAACTAAGAGCATGTTTTGACCTTTATACATTTTTATAATTCCATATGACAATCGTGATTGTGCACAATCAATTCTTTACAAACTGATTCAGCTTTACCGTCATAGTTTACCGACCTTCATTTTTGCATTAATTATAGCGATAACAGAAATACCCAGTGAAATTTAATATAAATAGAAATCATTAGATTCTTCGTGATCCTTTGTATTAATTTGTGATATGTCATCACATTCACTAAATAAATGCAGTTAAATCGCCATTTCTAATCGGCGTCGATAGTAGTTCGGATGATTTATTATTCTTGGTACAGAATATAGTTTTACGTGTAGTTTCAACGTAGCAACATAGATATTACGTTATGTTACCGAATAATTCATTCGTTAAATGATCTCAACAACCGTTTAAACTATATCGAATACTAACTTCCACCTGAAAATGTTGTTTTTGCGTTTCCAAAAGTGACGACCCAGCATTTCGTCGCATCGGTGGGAATGTCGCAACCTACCTGATTTTATAATTGTACACAGTACATTGTTCAGCTATGTACTTTGATTGTAAAAGTTTTTAAATAAGCAAAATATTAACCAGTGCCCAATCATATTTGTGTCTGTGGTATATCAACTTTGTTTGTTTTTGTCGAATGTACCGAAAACAGTAATACGTGAACTTGTATGCTGTCGTTTTGTTTTGCTTCAAAGTAGTGGGTGTGACGTTGGGCGCAACTTGTTTTAAAGCCGCCCCCTTATGAAAGCCGTTTTAGATTCGTAATATTGCTTATGAATAACATTAGTAGATGTTTCATTGGACGCAACTTCATAGACGCCCCTTCAGAACGGCGTATTAGATTTATTACGTGCTAATGAACAACACATACAATAGTAGTGCATCTTTTGCTCAAGGAAATGATTTAAATTTTTTTATGAACGAGCACATTGTTATCCCAAATTAATACCCCCGCTTAGGTGATTTAATCTCAGAATGGGATGAATATACGATCGTAGGTACATGACCTGACTGTCGACCCGCATGATTCAGCATCCGCGTTGTCTGATCTAATATTTGTTTTGGACGATTTTCTGCGAAATGACAATTTATTTTAATATGAAGTATTTTGCCTACTCGATAGCTGGTACCGCATTTGCATTCGTTTTTTTTAACAATAAATTGTATTTCTTTGGACTGGGAAAATATTTTCATGTTCGTGACATTTATTCACGATTCATGACTCGTGTTGTATTATTTTAAGCATACTTATGATGCAACACTGCGTTAGGCAGCTTTGTTTTTCGCTTCTTGTACACTTGAATACAATTAAACTCAATCCCGAGTTCGTTAGTCAGAAAATCATAAACAAAAATAAGTTACATAATTACGCCGCGAGCTGTTTGTTAAATATATTTAGCTAGCACTTTAAAACTGATGGTGTATACGCGTTGGGAATGAACCGAACTCTTTTTAGGTAATAATATTAACTAACAATGAAATATTTATGGCTCTATCTATGCAGATTGATAAGCTCGTATTTTAAATTGAAAAAAATATTTTTGTTTTAACTTTTATTAATGAAACGTTAAGAAAAGCATCTGTTGAAACAACTATTCACGTTGTGACTCATAAGCAATTATTATGTCGGCTCTAAGCCTATCTATTTTTATCTGGTAGAAGGGATAATATTTCCGCTTTGAATTATCGGTTCTCGGTATGTAATCGTTCTAAATATATTGTAATTTCACGCTCTACTTTCACAATAATTTAGCTAAATTTTGTTAAACGTTCGATATCAAAATACGGGTTTGCGTAACCGTTCCAGATCTTGCGATAAATAGTTTTGATCGCCATGTAAAGCACCACAGTACGCGGACAACTAATAACAAATAGTAATGCTTTTACTCTCAATTTTAATTTTGTTACTATATTTTCCCTTTCGCGATGTGTTACGACGTATTTCGGGAAAAAAATTTGACCGAAACCTAAATGAAATACCCGTGCATAAGCAGTCTTGGCACCCGGAATTGAACATACAAATTCAAGACAGTTTATCATTTATAATCAGGAGGTAGAATTTCATTTAAATATATATTTCATTTCGTGAAATTTACATTCGGTTAAGTATGCCGCAAGCTCGGTAATTGCGAAATTATCTGAAATGTGACCCGGTGACCGATTTCGACGTTTTACGAACAAGCTTGTCCTGATTTCAAAATCAACAATGTGTCATCTTAACATGCTTGTTCTAGGGCAATAAGTGAATGTGATTCATAATATGATAATAACTAATTTCATGAAGAATTTTCGTATCCGCTTTTTTGGTCTCATATTCTCGACGCTTAGCAAATAATAATGTTTTTTGTTTCGATGTATGTCGCTTTTGTGCGTCTCTTTCAGAATACTTGTTATTGGAAGGACTTCTCTAAACTTGCTTATGTATACTTGGGAGTCGTTAGCTCCATTTCAATGATACTCGTACATCGGCATAGTCGCTGGGACGGCTAAATTTAGAATGTGAATAGGCCATGTTTTGAACAATATAGAACAACGTATCAAATGTCCATATTTCGATGTATCGGCACGTACGCTTTTAATTTATTTAATATACGTAAGCGAAATTGAATGCCGCAAGTCTAGCAAGAATGAATATTGAATATTCATTGAAATAGGCAAGACCCACCGAGATATATTATTCATTTTACATAATGAGTAAATCATCGTTCATGATCGTTCGTTTCAACTAGTTACCCAGCCTTATTATATGTTATATGTAAAGCACTTATCGATCCGATGTTAACAATCAAATGTTTTTAACAAGGTATCGTCGGCATACCACCAACCCGCGATGATAAATATCCCTCTAATTACATAGCGTTAAACTATATAAAGGAATTCGTATTTTTGTCACCTCATTTCCTGTAGGCAATGTAAAATATTAAAAACTTTCCTACAGGCGCCGACCGAAGTGTGCTCCCGGATGTGGCTATTAATGTCAAGGCCTAGATTATGCCAAGTTCCGAGGACGGGCAACCTATAATATAACATATGGTCGATGCGTGTTCACCTTGCTCTCTGATCTAATGATATTGATTTCGGCCTCTAAGAGCGTTCCATTTACATCCACATCGACTAAAATTATTCGAAACATGTTCAATTCTTGCCAGACGCGCAATCTTTCATGTAATAACAAAATTCCTTTCTAAATTTAAAACTAAGGACATTACTGGAACGTTGGTTGTAACTAAAATAAACGATCGTTCTAAGTTTAAACGATGACTCATGGATTTGCTACAAATTCCCTTTCGCTTTGTCTTTGCGTATAAATTTAGTCGCATTCACCGAACTTTTGCAATTTTTCCAATTTCTTCTGTTACCGATTATTTGTTAGTATCGGGGTGCCAAACAGTAGTGATGATATGATTTGAATTCTTGACTTGATCAAGAGTCCTGAATGAGATCCTTTTTGTATACTCGATGGAATGGCAAAACTGCAATATCCTTCCTGTACATACGATATTTACCAAGGGAAAGGCGGCGAAGAAATGCTATCGCGCTGATGTCTGCCCATTAGACCAGAATTTCCGTTTTTGTTTTCTACGCGTCTGGCGACACCAGGCCACCAGAACAAAGAAAATTTTGTGATAAAAATTGCGGCGCTTCATTTTTCATTGATCGGGCCGAGTTTGCATTTTAATATGAATCTGACTACAAATATTGCGTAAAATCTTATAGAACTGTACATACGAATAGTTCAAATCGCAATAGGGAGTGCTGAATACATAATTTTAATACGTGGATAATGTCGGTTTTTGTTTGGTTAGTCATTTTCATTAGAGTATAGCCTATATGCCGAACCCACACTCTGCTAAAAAGACCAGTTGTGACCGGAATGTTAATTGTGAGTTACTTGTAGTGAAACTGGTTATTGACTTTTGTTATTTTACCGAATTTGTTTGTCAGTCTCATAAACCTCCTTGGGACAACAGTTACCATGTCTTTGCTAAATGTGTTTCATCAACATACAATCCCATGTCCAGTAATGATTGAAGTAATTTATTTCAGTCAATACATACTTGTTTCTCCAATGTTGTCAACAGACCAATCTGTGGGTGTGTGCTGCACTTCTAGGAATAATAAACATGAACCCAAGTCTTACCACAGAGGTCAATTTTATTAATCCTAGCAAGCTATGTTTAGGAATGCAGACAGCAATTACAGAGGATTTATTATAATACAAGCAATTGCCTATAATTCCCAGCGGTCAAATCTATGCATTAACTTACCTGTGACCTAGTTTCCTTGAAGTGACTAATTAAATATGAGAAACAAATAATCCAAGCCAGTTATAAGTCTGGACCACAATGACGCCAACCTGTTAATGACTTTACCATTCAGGATGTTTGTTAATTATGACTTGTTAACTCAATCAATCTGAAATTAAATTACCTGCCAATCCTATTTTATCGTGAGATTATCTTTATTTATTCCTTTCACAAACTTGATCTTTTTCTAAAGATAATATTTCTAGTTTGCAATCAAAATTTAATGCAAGCATGATCTGTGGCACACTGCAAAACACAATCCATAAACAATACTCGGCAAATATGTACTTCTAATGAAAATGAATAACTGAAATGCATTACTAAACTAAAATGAACTGAATAACGAAGTAGTGCTGATCTGTCTTCAGTTTGAATTGAAGTTGATTAAGTGAATCTAAAAAAATATTTATATATAACTATTTTTTTTTATTTTCAGTATATGCACAGTGCCAATGTCATGCACAGAGATTTGAATCCATCGAATATATTCATCAACATGGATACCTTGATGTTGAAAATTGGTGACTTTGGTGTATCACGCATGTGTGACTCTGAATATGATCACACGGTAAATATGTATAAATTTGTTTCAAAGACTTTTTTATTTAATTTGTGAACCATAAACTGTACAATATCATATGTTTTATCTTTATTTAATAATCAGCTTTGATCTTGTCAATTATTATTAAAATTTGACCATGTTCGAAAATTTTCTATACTAAATATTATTTGCCCGATCAATGGAATTAGAATGTCTCTCTATTGCATACAGTATCACTTATCGATGCCTCTGACTACCAAATACTATCAAGCTCCAGAGCTTTTGCTGCATCCACACCATTATACTAAGGAAGTGGATGTATGGTCTGTCGGATGCATTTTTGTTGAAATGCTCAAAGGTAATCAACATCTTCAAAAATTATCTATGTGCAAGTGTGATTACAATATTTATAACAGTTTTTCTTTCAGTTGAGCAAGACTCAACGCAATATACATATTATTATATCTCATCATGTTAATGTTTGTTAAATGGTTTCAATACTAAATGAATTATTAACTGGACAGAGAGTCTTCTTATGTTTTTACATTTATTTGATAACTCGCATGGGGTTGGCCAAGTTTTAGATACTCGTCAAATAGCATCAGGAAGTTTGTTGTGTTGCAGGCTGCAGCTCTTATACTTGACCCCTTAATGATTCACTTATTATTTAGCATTCTCATTAATTTATGTTTCTGGGAATTGTTTAACTAACCTATTGAAATAGTCAAATATTGAAAGGTAACAGAAAAGCTCGTACAACCTTGTCACGCTACACAATGTACATATCATTCATTGTCTAAAGGCAAACATCGCAAAGTTGACAATGCCTACGCTATAATATTGTAGTGTTTGGTAAGAACAAGGACTTATGCCAACCTATTTGAAATATTATTTTTACAGTAGTAATTTTCATTACCCATTTGGTACCAAAAAGCTTTTGTACCAAGAAATACTCATGCAAAAGTCAATTGATTTAAATGAGCCCAATATAAATTGAAGTAGTAAAAGGGAACAAACAATTTAGATAAGCACATAAAATGGAAGAACTAAATTAAATTGTAAATCCTTTTGGTCAAGAAATGTATATTTGCTTTGGGCTGGTGGGATGTTTAATCAGAATAGAATATCCGTGGGGACATATATTTAGCACTAATGAAATGGACGGCGAAATTTAATCTACAGTATATCAATCAATGATTGTGCACTTTTTAATACTTATTGATAAATGTCATATCGCAAGCTTCTGTATAATTAAATGGAAACATCGCTTGCATGCTCCATGCTGATCATTTTATCTTACATAACGATTATTCTACCGAGAATTCTTTGTAGGAAAGTACAAATTGTTTATCGCTGGGTAGGCAATGGAAAGGAGGTAGCAATATGTTACTTCTAATCAATTCAATCTTTATTAATTGATACTTTGAAATAGTAATAATATCGAGTGATTCAATCTAATCTATATTTTGATGAAATACAGTTTGTACTTTTGTAAACATTTTTTAATGAATTTGGAATTTTTAAATATCAATTTTTGTTTTTAAAATAAAATATGCCATGTTATTTATTTCAGGTTCACCTGCCTTTGCTGGAGAACATGTCATTGAACAAATGGGTCTTATCATGGACATTGTTCCAGTAACTCAATCAGATTGGAAGTCTGTTGTCAATGCGGGTTGTGACAATTTGGATTGTTGTGCTCCACCATCTGCTTTTACCATCGAAGAAAATGGTGGAGTTCCTGCTCGAACACTGGAAAAAGTACTGCCAAAGGCTCAGTCATCAGGTTGGTATTGAATTGGAATGAGAGAAAAAGATTTCTATGTGAGTTAGATTAAATCCAGATAATGAAAAATTGTTAGGAATGATCTTTAATAATATGCTATTTATTATGATTTGGTGGTAAAGTTGATTTTCTTGAAATCTTTGATTTAAAAATTGATCTGTAGTGAAATTTTTTAAATATGTAGATGAAACCATTGATTACAGGTACTTTTTTGTGTTTTTGTTTATTATTATAACTAATTCTTTTTTGTGGTTCCGTATATTTCAAGTTTTCTTATCATTCTGCAGCTCTCAATCTCATAAAACAACTGATCACCTTTGATCCCGATGTTAGAATCCCAGCAGAGGATGCTCTTAGTCATCCTTATTTTTTATCATATTCAAGTCCACAAGATGAACCATCTTGTACCCGACCTTTTCATATAGAAGATGAGCTTGATGAATACTCTGCTGCTGATCTTGAGGTTTGAGACAATAATTAACTTGCTTTTTTAATTTTTAAAGCACTTGTTATTTACACTCTTCAGTCGGGATGTGAGTAGAAACGTCTATGTGACTTTAATTCCGCTATAATTCTTTTCTCATACTGTACTTATATTAATTGCTGACTTTGTAGAATTGAAATTACACGCTTAAACATTTTTTCTTTTTAATCTATCTTGTAATCCTTAGTTTCTCTGAAACAAACATGAATATTTTGATAATGATTCGGATAGTTAAGTTCAAAATTAGGTTCACAGACATTCATGTTTTTATGTAATTACATAGGTGAAATTTTTATCAAGCTTTCTAAGCCAAATGTTGAACTGTTATATATACGTGTATGTGCAATTCAACATTTTTGACATGATGGTACTGTTTAAAAGCCAATAGCAAATATATTGCAATTATACAGCTCGATTCTAATATAGTTTGGAGAAAAATTCCAATATTACAAGCAATAAATCTTTGGTACTCCTGTTGTCCTGTAGTGTGTGTACCAGTTTAGGGTCAGGCCACAATTTATTTCGAATTTCCTTAATTTTGTTGAATTACAAGTTCAGGGACTATCTGTGTTAGCCAAGTGAATATGCCCCCTCCCCTGCCCATAGGTTTCAGTCATTTATAGAATTTTATGTAAAGTAGGCGAACAAAATTAGTTTCTCCCATATTGGTACACACACTTCTGGAGCGCCAAATTTTTTATGTGTAAAGTCAATTAAAATAGAAAAAGGCAAGATTTTAAACATAATTCAATTTCTATGAAAATAATATTTTTGTTATAAGTTAACCTTTCAACCTCTTAAATTCGTGAATTGATGTTGTCGAGAAAATTAGTGACATTTATGACTTATTTTACTTCGGGATCGTTTGTTGTTGAACGTCCTCAGGGCGAAACTTGCGCAACGTTGTTGCCGACGATTATTTTTAAATTGTTTATGCCCATGTATAATATTTAAAGCTGTTATTCAATATTAATTAAGCTATCTAAATTGAAGTCACTGATTGTGAAATTAAAGTAATTTATTTGAATGAAAATAAAAAACAGCCTGAAGGAATTTAATTAAATTGACTTATGGTCAAAATCTTTGTTTTAAGAAGCCAATTTGAGTGATAATATTTTACTCTATTGCTACCTTAAAAGTTTTATGTTTCACTGAAATCCATAATTATGTTTTTTTCAAGATTATCAAACTGTTATTTTTTTATTCTAGGCCATGCTTCAAAATGAGAGTTATAGTGTGACCAGTTCATTCAGCAGAAGTGTAGACACGACCCCATCCTTGTCAACAGTTCCAAGTTTTGCACATGGACTTGAGGACATTAATATGCTGGTGAATTTCATAGGGGTATAGTTTAATGAATAACTAGTGTATAAACTAACCGGCGACATAATAACGAAATTGAACTATGTCAAATTGTCATAATTATAAATTATTGTCATCCTGCTTTAACAGGTGTTCATATGTGTGAGGGTGATAATTGGAAACTAATAATTAATTATCATTTTCAGCGTGTCAATTCTGGATCTCTCATTACAAATGGTAGCTACCGTCATTTGCTCAGCCTCGCAGAAACAAACCATAATGAAGTTTTATCAGAATCAGAAGTCCGAACTATGGCATGCGATTTCGATTATGGGGTGCAGGTAGGAATGTACTGTAACATTATCCATATATTAGTTGTTTTTTCAAATCCTCCTAATTTATATATTTATATAATATTTTAACATTTTTTTTTATCAAATTGTACTTTCAGATTCACGAGTGCTCATTTACCAAAGATCGAATGTCAATGGACTTTCGTCCAATATCTAATGATGCTGGCTGCTTTGACCCTTACAAGTGGGGTCAAAGTAAGGGCCATCCACCTTCTAGTCTTGCGAGAAAGGAAGAGGATGATGAAGTGCAATCGCAGATTATTCATTTAACCAAACCTGGAAATGGAAGTCTTGAATTGTAAGTGCTAGGAAGCATTCTTATGTAAAATCAGTTCAGCGAAAATAGCAATTTTTAGTATATCAATTGATCATTTTCGATTCCAGATCTCGTCAAGTTGTATCTCGTTCTGACACTGGATATCATTCAAGTTATTGTTCATCGTCAATCACCAATCGAATTAGTAATGTCCCGTCGTTATCGCATTGGAGTTTGTCTTCTCCTGACATCTCATCTGACCAGGAACAAAGAATGGGTTGTGGTACCCCCGATTCTGTTAATAGTCCCCCGTTTCACATCGGCCCCGATCCTGACTCTTCAGCAAATTCTCCAACTCTACCTGAAGATCTGCACACAGAATCACATATGTATTCATCAAGCAAGAGACTGAATGATTCTCACCAATCGTCATCAAGAAGACATCATCATCATTCACATCATCATCATCATTCTCATCACCACCATCACCATCACCACCACCATCATGGCAAACACAAGTGAGTCTTATCTGTGATCTACTGAGAATGTATTTAAATAAATTAACCATGATATTATGACGGCAAACACTTGTCTCAATATTATTGTTTATCTTTATAGGAGCAGATCCAACCATTCCACCAATGGTTCATCCATCAGTCATAAGCCTGGAAGTGGGGAAAGTTCAATTGAGCACAATGACGGAGCGCATTCAGAAAATGGACCAATCAAAAGCAAGCGTTCGAGTGGAAAAAAATCAAGACACTGCCGAGATAAAGAAGAAAAAGATAATTTTGTCATACTGCCCAAACATATAATAGTAACAAGCCCAGAAAATGTTGTAACTTTGTCTCAGGTTACTCCTACTGTAGAGACCGAGAAATTGGATAATCAGGCTGCTGAGTCAACCCAAGATTCCTCTAGTGAGACTGTTTTAAATAAGGATGAAAAGACCATTCATACATTTGATAAGAAGGAAGTTATTCACGAACATTTAGATTCTAACAACACAAGCGATATTACATGCAAGAAGTCTGCTTTTCAAAAGTATGTCCCACAAAGTGGTAAAGATATTGATACAAAAAACAACAGCGCCGATAAAAATGTAAATCAGTCCATCTGTCCTTCTAGTGGTATTCAAAATCATCCTATTGCGAATAATGCTCCAGTGGCCGTGTTCAATGGAGCAGATGCAATAAGAAACATGTGGAAGGCTGATTTAGGCATCACACAGTTAGAGACTGAAGATGAGCAGCAGAGGCCAAGGACTTGGTCTGAAGGTTGCAGAGTTCGTGCACCAAAACATCGTCAAATAGCCAGGCTTCCGAGTTCTATACATGATGGAAAAGTTATCTCTACTGAAACTGCATTGAATTGTAGTCTTGTACAAAAAATTCGAACACAACTTGGACAATTCTTTTCTGATGGCTGCTGCTTATCCAGTCCTGACCTCTCGGGATCCTTGCCGATAAAACCAGGGCAAGTTAATTACCTTACACGAATGCGACATTTTTCTGATGATAGGAGATTTGTGTGTTCTCCGCAAGCTTTCTACCCTGCTGAAGACCCCCGCAGCATCATCGCAAAAGATTCTTTTAAATCCGATCAAAATATGCCACCGGCAACATGTGCAGGTGCAGAAAACTACCCCGGCGCAATGAAGATACCACGCACTCGTGTTGAGTGCCCTTTTTAAATTTTTCAATTATAATTAATTAATTAAGATGGTAATTCAACCACTTTCTATTTAGTATCTCAACTTAGTATCTTTTATCTACCTATTTGAAAAAGAAACCTTGCATCTTGAAAACATCAATAACAAGACCTCCCGAATTTTTATCAGTGTTTTAAAATATAATTTTATCGGCTTTTAATTTCAACTTTATTGGGAAATATGCTCCCAAAAAATTACTTTTTGGAGTAACAAGTCATCCAAATAATTTCCCAATTTGAAGTAAAATTGAACTTTTACACTGACAGGACGACATGTTTTTTATTGTACAAAGCGCAATTCATATCGATGTTTCATTGTAAATTTCTCATTAGCCAATAACTGTTGCAGACATTTTAATTCATTCATTCTTAGCTGAAAAATGTCAAACCACGTACCATCAAAAGTTTGAGCTAGTTTTTTGGGTATTGTTATGGGTAACGCGACCTGCTTCTAGTATTAAGACTCGATCAATGCTCAGATTATTTTCAAACTCTTTTGATGGTGTGCGATTTCAGATCAACTTCTGTCTTGGTTGTTGTTCTTAGCCTAATTATTATACTTCTGCTCCCATGTTGGGAGCATTGTCTCAGCTTTGTTTCTATCCTTTTCTTTATTTATTATTTAATTGAATAACTTATTATTATAGTCATTTCAATGCGTTTACATCTGTCGAGTAATTTGTCAAGCCATCTTTAGCATCTTGGATAAAAGTATTATCACCTTCTCTTTGTCTTATCGTATTATAAACTGAAGAAGGATTTATGACATTACTATTGCGATTCCGTAATATCAAAATTGAATCTGTTTTTTGCTAAACATGGGCTTTCTGGGAAGCGCTACATACCGCTTCTTTCAAGTCTCTGTGCTCAGCAAAGAAAACCCATTCAAAAAACCTGGTGATTTGGCAATATAAAATAAGACTTTTAATGGCACAGAGTTATTGGTAAAAATAAACTAGGTAGTTGTGGTAACAATGCACTTTTTGGCATGCCATTTGCAGACGAAACTCAAACCACTCATTCATGCTCTATTTTAAATATCTTCACTATTAAATTAAGTATGCACTTGATTTAGTCAATTCTCATAACGTCATTAATTTAATTATTGTTTATTTAAACATTAATTATTTGAACTATGACAGCTGTGAACATGTATTGGTGCTTTTTACCATACCTGTGTTTTATTTTTTCAACCATAATTTATTCTCTGGTTTAGTCATGATTTGTACAATTGGCTCAATTTAAATCATGTTGGGTTTGGTTGGGTTTTGCACTTCAGGCGAGCTATGTTGACACAGAATAATTATCTGGTGACTGATGTATTTTATCATATTCTCTTGTAACACAGCCAACTGTGATGAAAGGCATTTTTTTTAATAGATCTTGGCAATTTTGTTGAATATGTTATTATATGCCTAACAACCATTGATTAGAAGTTCTTTTTGCCCGTTATCAACTGTTATGTTATCAATTTAGGTTTCTATTACTGTTATCTTGTTTATAACATATATATGTATAGTACATGATAACATTGACCCACTACCTTATTTTTGTAAGGTATGAGAGCGAAAACAGCAAGATCACTGAATAATTATGCTTTGCTTAGCAAGAAACATAGATTTATTATCATATTTTTTTAATTTCATGCTTGATTAGTGCAATTCGCTTTTTAAGTTCTTGAAATTTTTTAAATTTGTTTTATTACATGGGTAAATATGTTTATGAAATATCATTTTCTGTCAAAACATTGGGGATGGTCTGGTAAATGTCGATGTATTTTTAGCTTGAATTAAAATAATAATTATGGAATTCCACTTGCCACACTGGAATAATTATTTGAATATTACTTTTAAGTAAGACCAAGTGACAAATTTGTCAATTGTGTATTGTGATGATTTTATCAACTATTTGTTTAGGTTATGGTGAAGATATTTATTTGCTATTACTTTACTGCGATTTGATTATTGAAGGGAGTGAAAATACACTAAAATAACAACATTGTCAAATTTTTCGACCTGGGAAGTGGCTATATGGATACATTGGGAGGTTTATTGGATATAGGTAAATGAAACCTATAGTCCTATACCAGGGGTGGGCAACCCCTGGCACACGTGCCAAACTTGGCACGCGAGCCCATTTATTCGGCATGCGAGCGAGGCATTGGAAACGAGATCATTTTCCTTCAGATAAAAAGTTTCAAGACTCTGAATTATCTAACGAAACGGTGTTCGTTTTCGTTCGTGTTCGTTTATTCATCATGATTCGTTAACAATCCGTTATTTATTTAAACTCTTTTTGTCCCGTAATGACGTATGGCTACAACGAAATATATTATGACGTACCAAATGAGTGGGCTTTCGAGAAGAGCGCTGCATTCATTTTGCTACATAATATATATAGTTCGTCTGTTCAATCCTTTTTCTTCATTTCTTCTTGATTTATGAAGTTGTAAAGCTCATGTTGGCTAGAATTTATTGCTAACTTATTGTTATAAATTGATTTCGAAAGAAATATAAGCGACTAGAGAAGGTGATACAAGAGAGGAGTGCAGAAAACAACGAACTATTGCGTAATTGGAATGCCATTCCCGAAAATTTTTCGTGTCTTAAAAACTTTGCAACTCCATCTCTTTACATGTTTCCATCTACATATGCTTGTGAAGCTTAGTTCTCAGTTATGAACTTTATAGGAGTAGCCTGAAGGATGAAATCATAGTTCGTGTATTTCTCTGAAAGTTATAAAATATACCCGATGTGAAATCTCTATCAGCGGTAATGCAGCAGCAGAGGTCTCACTGATATCGAATAAGAACAGTAATCAAATCCATTTGTTGGAGTGATTTTTTCGCGATTAATAAATCTGTCTGTACATGTTTAAAAGGTTTATTATTGTGCTTCTCTGCTTTGAAAGTGGCAAAGCATTGTTTTTAATTTTGGTCGGCACGCGGAACAATTTTGTCGTTAAATTTAGCCGATTTCGGCACGCGAGCCGAAAAAGGTTGCCCATCCCTGTCCTATAGAGGACTTGCACGGGTCACGTGACCTTGTTACTGGACGGCAATAAAACAAAAACGTCCATTTGTCTCCTGTAAGTTGCAAGTCGGATTATACGTTTCCGTTTTGTTTGGCTGTTGAAAATGGTTATTTCGTATTGTTCCGCTGGCTGTACGTATAGTATAGACAACGAAATGGATCTTCAGCTATATTCCACTGTTTTCAAAAGATCAGGAACGTCGCGCAATGTGGATATCATCTATTGGCAGGACTGCTTGGTGTCAAGTCCAGAAGCCATCTTACTCGTGTTTCACTGTTTGCGGACAGCACTTCGTTGATGGTGAGTCATGATGTGCCGTTATCAATTTTTTTAAGTATTCATAAGCTCCCTCATTTCAATGGAAAGCAGATGACAAACTACTGTTATTGGTAGGCTTAGGCCTACTTGCAGACTTGACTCGTGTAAGGTATTAATCAATAATTGCCATAATGTATTGTTTCCCTAGTTAGCAGGTAATCTATTAGTAAGTGTGAAAATTTGAATAGATAACTAAAGTTTAATGCCAGCGCTAATGCAAAAAATAACCAAAATTTAATTGAATTCTCTATCTGAGAATACGCTCGCCACCGCATCTCTAATCCCCCTGGGAGTTTCACAGGTTCCAATCCCATGCGGGGATAGTTATGTGCGAGGGGACGAGGAGATTGCAGCTCTCCTCCCACTAAGGGTGGTTCACACGACCGCTGGTCGATTACGACATCCCCCACCATCAAGTCCATGCTTCTAAAACAAATAACTGGCTAACTAATCCCGACATAGATTGGTAATCGTACGATGTTGCACCTTGCAATCCGTCCCCAACCACAGATAAATTCTATCCTAAAAACTACCCACATTGGTAGGCATAGTTGCGTTTTAAATTGAAAGAAATCTTCATTAATGGTCAGAAGGTGTTGTCTGATTGTTTTGGTAGTTAGCAGGTAATTTATTACTGATCTGATACACAAACTTGGCACTGTCAAATGATGATTAGTGTTTAATTTATTTTCAGGAAAAAGGGAAGATAACCCATTATCAGCTGCTTACATGTCCCATCGATATTTGAATTTTCGCCATCCCCAGAGAAGAAGAGAATAGTTAGAAAAAGGAGGATTTTGAAGAAAGGCAAAAGGCAGGACCATTTCAACAAATTCTGTTAACTTGTATGCGTTGCAATATTAATTCGCAGTTGTTAGCATAAACATTTAATGTGTCTTTCGACTAGACCTACCACACTTTAAAAAAAAGCCGCCTACACCCCTTTTCACTAGAACCATAATACTGTAAAATATTTGATAGAAATTACCCCCGAGGCATCATATCTTCCATTTGAAAGGGCTGTGGAGGCAGATACATTTTTTACTCTAAATTATGGAATGTTACTTCCAGGTTATCTTATCCTTGCTTATAGATATCTTGAGGTTAGTGACTCCAACTGACCCATGCATGCCACACTAAAAATTCTCTTGTGTACCCATAAAATAAGGCTGTTGGAGCCTCAGACCTTGAAAACAGTCGAATCTGAGCACGATGGATTCATGTGAAACAAGTAATACACGTAATAGCATTAGCATTGCCTATGGAATCAAAACATTAGACAAATTGGTGTACTGTGCGCATTCACAAATTTTTGCGAATCAAGTGTGCCTTTTGACTAAAGAAAATTTAGCATTGAAATGGTCAATCTCAATATCAACCCAGTATCTGCAGATAAAACCAATTGTTTTTTAAAAATACATTTTTGATGTGCTTTAAATAATTTATAATTACTGTAAAGTGTGTGATACATTTGGTACCATGAATACTATTTGCAAATTAGCTTGGGTTACACGCCCTCTCAAATAAAAGTTCAGGCTCTTAAGTCGTATCTCATAATATTCTTTAAACAAAAGGCTGCGGCTAGCTGGCTACCCATCAGAATTTCCTTTCAGATCACAAAGTCGCAATATTACGCCTCGCTTAAGTTTCATTGGCAACTGTATCTGGTTGTAGTATCGGTGTCCAATGTTAGACTGAAACCTTCACGACCAGACCCACCGAAACAATTTTCTTTTCTTGATGGGGTCGTCTTGAAGTTGATTTCGTTAAAGCACAATGGACACTTTATCTCCACCAATCCACAGTAATGACAAGTTACTTTGTTATTACGATAAGCATCAATAAATGGATACTGAGGATGTATTATCAAGTCACGCAAGCTGAGGTCTTGTGCCACTGTGGTCTTGTTGCAACTTATACTTTGCCATCCATCAATTCCATGGTCGCAGCCATATCTGTAAGATAATGGATACAGATAAGTGTTTTCATAAAATCTAACGATCAAGGAGTGTGAAATTTAGGGCTGGGCATTTTCGAATACCTTGTGATTTCAGAATCGAATCGAATAATTTTTTCGAATCGAATCTCGCATAGGCCTACTTGAAAATATAAAATTGTAAGCGACTTTATCATAGTAATTGATAACCAAATGAACAAATGAATTACTGAAGACATAGAATAAATCACTCAGATAGATTACTGAGCGTTCACACAGAATAACAAACACGTTTTATCAATAACTCACTACAGAAAATAGTCATATGTTAGAATTTCGTTGAAAAAATATGACTTCAATGAAAAAAAAATTGGGGAATTCACCTCGACCATTAGCGGAAAGATAAAAACAAGATGGCGGCAATTCGAAATTCCAGTCTGAACCGATTCGAATAATTTACTATTCGATTCGAAATGCCCAGCCCGGGTGAAATTTATGTCCATATCCCACCACAGCCACTAGTCGTAAATGAATTTGATTCCGGGTAGCATATCTTTTTTACCAATGACAATAAAAAGACATTTTGAATCAGTTGTACAAGCACCATTAGGATAGGATTTATCTGGGGGGGAGCCAGTTATTTGTTTTCAGAAGCATGGACTTGGATGGTAGGGAATGGTCGTAACCGATCAGCGGTCATGTAAACCACCCTCGGTGGGAGTGGAGCTGCAATCCTCTAGCACATAACTATCCCCGCATGGGATTGAAACCTCTGAAACTACCAGGGTGATCAGAGATGCGGTGGCGAGCGTATTCCTAGATGGCGAATTAAATTGAATTCTGGTTATTTTTTGCATGACCAGTGGTGTTAAACTTTAGTTATCTATTCAACCTTTCACACTTAGTAATAGATTGCCTGCTAATCAGGAAACAATACCTTATTAATTCCTTACTGTCTTACACAAGTCAAGTCTGCAACTGCAAGTAGGCCCACGCCTAGGCCTACTAATAACAGTAGTTGATTATTAGATTAATTCCTTACTGTCTTACACAAGTCAAGTCTGCAACTAGGCCTACTAATAACAGTAGTTGATTATTAGATTATTGATTATTAATTCCTTACTGTCTCACACAATTCAAGTCTGCAACTGCAAGTAGGCCCACACCTAGGCCTACTGATAACAGTAGTTTGCCATCTGCTTTCCATTGAAATGAGGGAGCTTGTGAATATTTAAAGAAATTGATAACGGCACACTATCACCACATTATCACTCACCATCAACGAAGTGCTGTCCGCAAACAGTGAAACACAAGTAAGATGGCTTCTGGACTTGACACCAAGCAGTTCTGCCAATAGGCAATAGATGATATCCACATTGCGCGACGTTCAGGATCTTTTGAAATCAGTGGAATATTACTGAAGATCCATTTCGTCCATGTCTATACTATACGTACAGCCAACAGAACAACGAAATAACCATTTTCAACAACCAAACAAAACGCAAACGTATAATCCGACTTGCAACTGACAGGAGCCAAATGGACGTTTTTGTTTTATTGCCGTCCAGTAACAATGTCACGTGACCCGTGCAAGTCCTCTATACTGTAGTTCAGGGGTCGGCAACCCCTGGCACGCGAGAGAATTTTCCATGGCACGCCGATTGATTTGAGGCACACGCGAGTCCGTAGATAAGCGTGTGCACGCAGTATT